GCATGCTTCCCCGGGAAATTTTGAAAAAACGAACCTTCTAAATTGGCATTTCGTGCGTTTTTGAGAGGATTTCCAAGAAAAAATCAGAGATACATTTTTATTCAATGACAAAGGGAGCAGTTTTTTCTACGATTACAGTCCATCTTTTCAAGAAAAATCTTGGACCTTTACATAAAAAGTGGACCAAAAAGTGGACCTTTGCATAAAAAGTGGACCAAAAAGTGGACCTTTGAACCTTGTGGGGGGGGTTCTTCTGAACCCCCTGAACCCCCCCTGGCTACGGGCATGCAGAATCTGTCATACCGTTACGATAAAGGCTAGCTTGTACATAGTGATACTGGAATATACACATGTACATGCACATGTAGGTACAAATCAACATGACCTTAGGTCCTAAGTAGAAAGGGTGGAGAGTTTAGGTACATGTATGATTACTGAAGGAAAACATACTGTTTTTTGCTTGCTCTTTTTCTTCTTCTTCTTCTCCAAACAAATCAGGTCAATGACCTGAACCAGACGTCTGTCACCATCATGTTGCAATTTTATAGCAGGAGGGATTTAGACTCCTGTCTGACCATATTATATATTATGAATGTGTTTGAGTAAGAATTGATGTTAACAGAGCAGACCAGATGAGAAGGTAAACATTATGAGTTTGTTTTGCAAATGTTACCTTTTCTAGTTTGTTATGGTACAGAATGGGTGGGGGGGGGCAGCAGTAGTATTCACGAGTTGCACATTCCCAGGATCCTTTGCGCACAGGGTGGGGAAAGGTCGCGATAAACCACGTGACTCATCCTCGGCTCTGGTCGGAAGAAGTCGGAAGTATTCGCGAGCGCTCGGAAATTTAAAAAATGGCTGCCACCACTGCCGGCGGCGGGAGGCACGTAGTTTTTCACGGCGTTCGTAGGGCAAAGCGGCATCGAATTTTTGCTCCATGACTATCGGTATGGGATAGGATAGGGTTGATTCAACATACTACGTGAAAATATGACAAAAAGACAGACTTTTGAAATTGAATGCTCCCTGCCTACTATCGGCACCGATAGTAGGCTGGGAGCATTCTGACTTCTTCCGACCAGAGCCGAGGATGAGTCACGTGGTTTACCGCGACCTTTCCCCACCCTGTGCGCAAAGGATCCTGGGAATGTGCAACTTGTGAATGATAGAACACCTGGGGGCAATCACTGAGACAGACCTGACCAGGGGTCAACCAGGAAAGCTGAAGCTAATGGTTTTGGACTTTGATCATTGCCAAGCTTGGAATGACTAGAACATGGTCATTTTATCATGTCTGGAAGCCAGCCAGAGATTTTTTTGTCATCTCAATTTTGCTTTTTTGACGTAAGGCCACAGCAAGTAATTTATATGGATGATATCAGCGCGCGCATTAATTTTTGCCTGATTTTGGAAATAAAAAACAAGAAATTTTGTTGCCTTCTGACAGTGGTCAACATGCCGAAAATGGGCAAAGATCCATGCCAGAAGGTGGATGGCAGATAACTATGTGAGAGATCGAGACAAGAAAAGGCTCTGATTTAATGTTTTGTTTCTTACTTTGATGCAGTGATATGTGATGCTGGCTGTGTATATGTGATGTTCCTACTGAATCAAAACCATTTGTACAATGATTAAGTCAAAATTTCAAATTGTAGGAACCTTGTTTTTTTCGGCCTGCCTTGTTTTTTTTTTTGCCCGCTCACATTAGATTTGGAGTCTGTGGAGAATGTCATCCATAAAATTTACATGCTGTGGCCTAATATCATGTCAAGTGCCTCTTGAGGCATGACAATTTTGAAATCTTGAACCAACTGAAACGCTATTTCATGCATTTTGAGGTACAACTTTTGTTGGGGGACTAAGCTTAGTTTAATAAGTGAGCACTTTTTATGTTTTTACGACGCAAAATTTTGTCAAATGACGAAATTGCAGACGCTGACTAGGGAGGCAGGCTGGCTTCCCAGCATGCCGTGCAGGTTTAGAGACAGGTATCAGGACAGTAAAATATTCATGAGCTCAGAGCAGCATTTGTTTGACCTTCTACTATCAATTTGACATTTGGTCAATTTCACCAGAAGTTTTAGTTTACTTGTGTATGCACCATAAATTCATGACACCATGTTACGTGTACAATTTGTCTGAGTTTCTCGTTCTCAACGCAATTGGAGGAACTATGAATTTTTTTCCCGAACTTGAATATATCCAATGCAATGTCAGGGTGGTGTAACAAAAAATATTCTGGTAGAGGAAACCTGTCTGAATGAAGTGATATTGAGATTTTAAGCCATTTCGTAGTTCATTTCATCATTTCATACTTGAAGTATTTAAAATAGCCCCTAAACAAGCTACATGAGGTGTCTGTTAATTTTTGGTTACTGCCAAAAAAAAGACTGTGTCTGTGTGAGAAAGTGTTAGAGTATCCTTTAGTGGGGTATCCTACATTTGTAGGTCTGAAATTACCATGAAGTGTTATCAGGATACCCCCATGTAGACCCTCACATTTGGCCCCACCCCTGCTAGTCAAAATGGGATCCTTCCTAGGGCTGGAAAAATAGTATCGGTCCGGTCCGAAAAAACCGAAACGTTGGTGGAGACCGGAACAAAAATTCATACTTGATCACTATACACAAGGAGGCCTGCCAGGAAAATGAACATCCAGCATTAAAATAAAGAGATTTACCTATTAGAAGTAGTTTCTGTCTCTGAGAACTAGTGAGAAGTGAGATAGGAAACCTAGTTATATCATCCATGGTTATATTGAAAGATACAGGACAAATTGTCAACACTTTATTCATGTTTCTGTCATTATTGAAGAATTTCAGTAGAACATGTGACGCGCGTGAATTTTCAGGTACAGGTACAGGTCCGGACCTGGACCTAAACCTCTGTACCTGTACCTGTACTTGTACCTGATGTTACGAAAAGGTACGCAGCCCTAATCCTTCCTTTGTTGGACTTGGCTTCTGCACAGTAAAACAGAGTTTCCTGATGTTGTGGTTTGGCAGGACAGAGAGTGTTTAGTTCTGCCCTATACGTGATGCACTTTGCGAGGTGTCTGTGTAATCCCCTTGCGGCTTACCTGTGTATATTTGAACATGACCTTTAGTGGTCCTCTGCGTTAAATCAACACGGCCGCGCAGGCATCACCAAGGTTACGGAGGATAATAGAGCACCTCAGCACCACTTGTCTCTGGGGAATTGACAGTGTGGCATTGAGCGCCCCAGCAGGTGTCCAAACATCATCATTTACCAAAGTTGAACAATCTGAAAATCACACACTTTTATTCAACATCACAAACGCAAGAACAACGAAAGACTAAGATAAACTGGAAAGGGTACAGAACCAAGCTGCAAGATTCTGCACGAACAACTATCAAAGGGGTGCTAGTGTAACAGAAATGAAAAGAAACCTAAAGTGGGGGTCGCTGGAAGACAGACGTAGAATGTCCAGACTGTGCATGATGTACAAAAATGACTAATAAACTGGTGGACGTACCAACCACTAAGTATCTGATACCAGCCCAGAAAAGAACGAGAAACAGTCATGCCTTCAAATATCAATCAGAGTTATCAACCAAGAAGTGAGGTATTCAAAAACTTGTATTTCCCCAGAACTATCGTAGACTGGAACTCATTGCCACCAAGCGCAGTTGGGGCATCATCACTAGAAAGCTTTAAACAACTTCTGCAATTAAATGTGCAAAGATTGAGTGTAACAAGTCGTTCGGTGTGATATAGCTAGCTGCCGCTGCGCCGCGTGCCTGCGAAGCTGGTGTGTTACGCCAAAGGGCGGTTATACCGGCTATACCGATACAGATACACAAAGAATGAGTTACATGATTGTGTTTTTAAGTGGAGGAAATGCAAGACTTCAGATAAAGTAGGACCTGTAATACCTTGTAAAAGTTAACGGCTTGTTTTATAGATTGCACTCAATGTTTTTTAGCATCAGGGATTGATCTTTAATCAAGAGAAACTTAAATGATAAATTTGAAAGGCAGACATTTGCTTGTTAGCAAATGCAGCAGATGGCTTCACCACATCCCTTGTACCAAAAATGGACATACAGCCCTGTCCAATACTTGAGTTTAAAAAAAAATGCCTCCCCTCGAGCTCTTTAAGAGTGAATTCTTCTAGTGACCCCACCTTACTAATGTTATGGTCTGGTTAAAAACACTTCCATGCATACAAAGTCACTTCTTCACAATCACCAAGTCAAAAATTGAATTCTAGAGAAATACAAATTCCCCCTATTAAGAACATACAAAAATATTTCCACACAAAATATAGTACTTGTCTGATCACCCCTGTTCAAAATTGAATTTGGAATTAGTTGGAAGAATTATATCATGAAAGTTCATCTGTGTTGGTAGTTACATGTGTGCCTATGTACATGTATTAATTGCAGCTATATAAAAACTGCAATATGATTATGCCTCACTTTTACATAGGACCCCCATGATCATAGGGAACAATGTCAACAAAAGGTCAATGACCTTACATGTACCTACCACACTACTACATGTATCTGCAGCTAATTTGGTTTACAGATTTTAAAATTTGGTTAGAAAATAGCCAAGTATATAAAAATGTAGGTTATGTGACACCGATGTACAACCCAAGACACTCCCTTTTCCTGGCCAATACTTGTAAAAAAACAAGGTATTTGTTCCTATTATAAGTAATATGTAGCACCATGCTCAGCTAATGTCACCCTTTCTAGGGGGCCCGCAAGCCCTTTTCCGTAGAGCGTAATCAGCCGTTTTAATTCTACGTAGAGCGTAGACGGACTGCTCTTATATATATAATATTTTTGCGTAGAGCGTATTCGGCGTTTTAATTCTACGTAATGCGTTGTAGCCACTTGGAATTTATCGTAAAGCGTAATCGAGAGGTTTCCAAATTCAGCGTACAGCGTTGTCGGGACCTCCCCCCCCTTGCAGGCCCTCCTTCTAGTTTGTACTTTTGTTGTGTTGACCGACTGTATTTTGTATTCACAGATGGTGGAAGGTGCAGAAGGAGACCATGGCAGAGAGAGACAGAAGCACTTCTACTACGACTATTCCTATTGGTCGGCAAAAAGCAGTGACCCACATTTTGCTTCACAAGAACAGGTGAGTGCACCAATCAGGACAAAGGTCACAAGGTGAAGACAGAAAGACTTCATTTTGCTCTCTGAACCCCCACTATTTTCGATAAGTGTGGTGGGTTCTTTTTTTCTCTCCTTAGGCCACACCAATTTAATTTCTTGGTTAACGGATTCGCCCGCTTCATTTTTTTCTGATATGAAAATAAAAATAAAAATTCAGAATCAACTGCAAAATGCTCATATTTTGCCCTGAACAGTTGAAAACAGTCCTTTTCTTCCTAGTTGTTACAGTTATTCCATCTTTCAATGCAATGGTATCATTAAAAGTTCAAAATTCATTGTTTAAATTTTGAACCGGCCTGGTGTGTTGACTTCATGGCTCCTATCGTACCATTTTGGGCCATAACAGGATGCCTAGGCCTGTTTTTATTTTATTTTTTTTTCGCCCGCACGCTCCATTATTTTTGTAGAAAAATTCGTTAACCAAGAAATTAAATTGGTGTGGCCTTATGATACTTTAAAGTTTAAGCAGAATTCAGGAGCTGTTCCTGTGCTGAAGTTTATCAAGAACCCATCCAAGCTATGGCAGCAACATTTCACTATGAAGACCATCTAGAAACCTCCCCATAAAATGATATATAGCAAAGATACATGCTTAGAGTTGATGATGTTAACATGCCAGACATGGTTATAATACAAACGATATGCGCTGTACTATAAGATGTCAGCAAAGGTAGGCCAGGATGCATAATTTACTCCAGATGTCTCCACTATTGCAGCCATCGCAACCAATCATAGCCCAAAATTCTCTTGACGACATCTCGTAGCCAGGTGAATAACCGCAGTCCCGTGTGTCCTACAGGTCAATATTAGCATCCTGGCTCCTTGACACACCAACACAAGCCTTACCTTCATGATCACCTTGTTCAGTGTTGTTTCTCCACACAAGCCCTTCAAATCGTGACTGGCTTGATTGTGTAACAAAAACCTGACTAGTAGCATCCTTTTAAGGATGCACCAATTTAATTTCTTGGTTAACGGATACGCCCGCTTCATTTTTCTCTGATTTGCAAATGAAAAAAATCAGAATCAACTGCAAAATGCTCATATTTTGCCCTGAACAGTTGAAAATAGTCCGTTTCTGTTACAGTTATTCCATCTTTCAATGCAATGGTATCATTAAAAGTTCAAAATTCATTGTTTAAATTTCGAACAAGCCTGGTGTGTTTACTTCATGGCTCCTATCGTACTATTTTGGGCCATAATATTAAAAGGATGCCTTAAGGCCTGTTTTTCTTTTTCTTTTTTTTCTCGCCCGCCCGCTCCATTATTTTTCTAGAAAAATCTGTTAACCAAGAAATAAAATTGGTGTGGCCCAAGTTCTATTAGAAAAAAAGTGAGAAAAGGAAAGGAATCTCGGATGTCAACTTAATCTTCGTGGATGTGTATTTTTGCCAAGCCAGGAAACCTGGACCCTGGGGTTGGGAGGCAGCCAATAGGGTTGTTTTTGCAGTGTTGTTTGAATCCCTGTCTTATCTTCTACTCTATCTTACTTGTTCTGCACCAGATGAGGTGTAAGAGGTCACTTCCTCCCCAGATAAATATGATGACTATGTGAGAATCAGGCCCTTTGATAGAGGCTGGAGCCTGTCCAGAGCAGCCCTGTCCTGATGACACACTAGTGCTCGGTTACACCTGTGATGTATGGATGTTGGAAGGGATCCTAAGGCCTAGGGAAAAAATGTTGTTACCTTCGCCAAGAAGGTTATGTTTTCAATAGCGTTTGTCTGTGTGTTTGTGTGTGGTTTAGCAAGATAACTCGAGAAGCAGTAGATGGATTGGAATGTAGGTCTTCATGAGACCTAGAAATGATTAGATTTTGGGCCCCCTGGCAGCTTTCCTAGGTACTGCAGCAGAACTTCCGGTTTTGATATCTCGTGATCTGGACATGCTAGGGTCACGAAGTTTGGATGGCAGATAGCTCTTGGGATAGGGAAGAAGTGACATGAGTTTGGGTCCCCTAGCTGCTTCTTCTGGAACTGCAGGATCATTTGTTGAAAAATTTTCGAAGGAGGATAACTCAAGAACTTGTTGTTTTTCCTGTTCCTCGACCGACCCTCAAAAAACCTGACGACCCTAGACTTTTTTTGGGGTGGACCCCTGGAAGGGATGTAATTTTTTGAGCTGATCGACCTTTTCTAGCTCCATGATCTGACACCTGAGTGATTGTACAATTGGTTTTCTAACATCGACATTGAAAATAAAAGTGTCCTCAGGCCACACCAATTTAATTTCTTGGTTAACGGATTCTTCTAGAAAAATAATGGAGCGGGCGGGCGAAAAACAAAAAAAAACAAAAACAGGCCTAGGCATCCTATTATGGCCCACAATGGTACGATAGGAGCCATGAAGTCAACACACCAGGCTGGTTCAAAATTTAAACAATGAATTTTGACCTTTTAATGATACCACTGCATTGAAAGATGGAATAACTGTAACAACTAGGATGAAAAGGACTGTTTTCAACTGTTCAGGGCAAAATATGAGCATTTTGCAGTTGATTCTGAATTTTAATTTTTATTTGCAAATCAGAAAAAAATGAATCGGGCGAATCCGTTAACCAAGAAATTAAATTGGTGTGGCCTTACCTAAACTACAAAATTGGCAGATTCTTTGCTCTAGAGGAGTGCTGTTATGCCTTCCTGATTCGATTTCCAATTATGTTACAAGATGGCCAATGACATGGCTCCTACAATATGGCCAATGACATGTCTCCTTTCAACTTCCTTCAGGTACACAAAGACCTAGGTGAGGATGTGCTGGAGAATGCCTTTGAAGGTTACAACGCCTGCATCTTTGCTTACGGACAGACGGGTTCAGGGAAGTCCTACACCATGATGGGAGATCAGAACACACCGGTGAGTAGGAACATTACATGATGATGAACTTTATTTGAAACAACAAAAGCACATCGACTTTAATAAGGTATTTAACTACATGTAGACATACACAGACAGATACGTGGGTACAACAAAATTGACCTAATATACAAGACAATAGATGAATCAACTTATGCTACTTGTTCTAAGGTCTAAACATTCTTTGATATATTTACCTATTTGTACACAGTAAGTAAGTGAGTAAGGGTTATTACCTTCAAGAATGAAATTGAAGTTATCTATACCATGAAATGTAACAAATTCCTTTTAGCAGGCAGAAAGACATTAAACAATATCCTGAATGTTTAGTATAAATGTGAAAAAATGAAAAATCTGAGTACATATATTTAATATTGCTCATGGTACCTGATGCATAGATCTGATGGAAAACTATGTTGTTTTGTTTGTCTTCTACAGAATCAACAAGGCCTTACACCCAGGATTTGTGAGGTAACAGTTCTTTACTTTACTTCACTTGCTAACTATCATTGTAAGGCCATGTTGATTTGATTATATGGATGACATCCTCCGGGAACCCCAAAATTGATGCGCGCGTGCGAATAAAAAAAAATTTTGCAAAAAAAAAAGTTGTTTTCAGTATGAAATCCACGTGGTCATGAGGGTTGAACAAATGGGACGGAATATGGTTTGGCGAATAATCTAGTCTTCAAGTTCATTTCTTTACAATTTCGTCTTTTTTCGTTTGATTTTGGCATTCTACGACATTGGTATGGTTGTTTTGTAACTTACGGTATATTCTTGCTCATTTTGCAACTGTTTTGTACGATTTACAGTATGGTTGTTAAAACTTTTTTTTTTAAAATGCGCGCGCGGATGTCATCCATATAATCAAATCAAGATGGCCTAACAAGAAATCAGAAATTTCAGAAATGTGCAATTCTCAGCTTCCTGAATTCCCCCATGTAGACCACTAATTCCTGCTCACTCACAGGCAGATTCTGAGATCTATTCACTACATTTTCTAACTGACCTTTTGACGTCTTGTCATTCTGCCTGTCAATCTTCCTCCAACCACTTTTTGTCAACCTACTGTTGAGCCAAACAGGCACAAGCAAACCCACTGCTCAACCACCCTGAATAATACTTCTGTACCCAGAAGTGTTTTTTATTTCACTCCATACTTAAGTATGGAGGGAAATACTGTTTTTACTGATGATTCTCCTCCTTCTTCTCCTCCTGCCATTTCTTTAAATTGATTCAATTCCTTCATTTTTGGGCCAAACGACCTGGAATTTCGTATAAAGGTAGAGTGGGTAAATACCCCTAGGCGTTTTTTTATTTTTTTTGATACAAGCTTTTACAATCGTTTTATTTGCGTTTTTAGCTGTTCCCATAGGAAAGTACTGTGGGGCGTACGCGCGTGACGTAATAAGAAAGGAATTCGGGGGCGGGCCCAAATATGGGCATGCAAGCATGAACCTGACGCAGCCTGATCTTTTCTTCTTGCTGATTGGCTGTTGGATTTGATTGGATTAACTCAATTAACACCTGTTCAAAGCCATTCCATTTTGACAGTATGAACTCAAGTGTTTTGGTAGGTACAGCACAGGCCACGAATACGCATCAATTTTCGAGGGACGTTCTGCGGGAGAGTGCAGGACGCTGTGCGGGACTTCCCTCGGGAGAGTGCGGGACGTCCTCCGGGAGAGTGCGATACGTTCTGCGGGAGAGTGCGGTACGTCCAGCGGGAGAGTGCGGTACGTTCTGCGGGAGCCAGACATTTTGCTCTTCTCTGTTGGAACAACGCAAGTTGGAGGTCAATGACCTGCGCCCGGCGTGTAAACAAGATTGGACAGGGAGCGGCTGTAATATCAAAGGAGCCGGCGGCTTCTGCTAGCCGGGTTGATAGTTAAGTAACATCAAGGTGGTTCAAAAGCAAACCTGATAAAGAAGGAAACCCCGTAGTTAATAGTTGAAAGTCTTGGTGGCTTGAGGCGATCGATACCGCCATGCTGTTTACTTTATATGACATACAATGCAGTGAGTGATGTGTATCGCAACGAGTTAGCTCGGTTGGTAACGCGCCAGACGGCAATCCCAGAAATTGTGAGTTCGAACCCCAGTGCATCGGATAGTAACATTTTAAACAATTTTATCATTTTTAACAATTTTATCAGTTTTAACAATTTTATCAGTTTTAACAATTTTAACAATCCTGCATTTTAACAATTTCAACATTTTTTTTTTTGATTTTCGTTGTTTTGCTTTTAACATTCAAAAACTGATTGTTCTTACTCAAGAATGTCAATAACTTAGAATGTTAGTCTTTTGTATTTTTCCAACATACAAACCAAAATCACTTTGTATGTTGTCACAAAAGTATGGAGCTGACAAGAGAGAATGAGTACGGTACTCTGCCAGTGTGAAGAATCTACAGAGGTATTACCAGTCACTAGTAGCAAGAGATAGACCACATTGAATGATGACGATGAGGACGAATCATATGGAGTACTATCATAGCTTAGTACAGAAATTCTACTGCTTTACTTTACTTTACTTTCTTTCACTCTGTACATGCAATTAGCTCACTGGCATGATTTTAAAAATAAAGGTTATGATAATCATATTATATGTATAGCTTATTCAATGTATGGCTTCATAGTTTATGTGATTGTTAATAAGGCCATGTTGATTTGATTGTATGGATGGCATCTGTGCGCGCATCGGTTTTCGTTAATTTAAAACTAAGTTTACGACATTCATACAAAACATCTGGAAACTAAGCAAACATACTCTGTAAATTGATTACTGTAATTCCCGATTTTTTTTTCACTGTACCGCAACGTAACGCAAGCAGGAGGTCAATGTTCACGGTTTTCACTGTCACCTCTGTACCGTGAACTTATCTTTACAGTTAGGAAATAATTCCTGGACTTTCTTTTTCCTGCAACTGTCACCACCGTGAATATATAGTTCCGTGAACATGTCCATGTTTCTCAGACCGTGAAAATTTTGCTACCGTTAGTAGTAGTTGCAATTTCGTCATTAGTAGTATTTAGATACCTGCAATATAAAGATAAGTGTAAAGTAAAGCTGTCGAGATTTAAAGTGCTTGTCGTTGTATCTTTGTAAAAAAAAGGGAGATAATGGCCAAGTGCCATTTTTGTAAATATCTGTCGAGATTCAAAAAGCTTGTCCTTGTATGATTGCAGTATGATTTATTCAGAATCTTCTATTTTTGTATGGGGAGGGAGATGGAGTGAAATATTACATTTGCTCCGAAGCAAATGTTGGCCTTTCTAGTTTTAAATGAAGATTTTACCACATTTGTGTAAGGATTGACGTAACAGTTGTCTATCACCTCTTTGAAGATGTCAAACCTGAGACCAGACTGTAAGGCTTGAACCACTCACACCGGGAAGGTCCCCTACTCTTTTTGATAAGTGTGGTGGGTTCTTTATCGTGCGTGAGGTGTGGCTCTCCCCAAACACGGGACCTCCATTTAGCGGGAAGTCCCTAACCGAAACTAGGTACTCATTTACACCTGAGTGAAGTGAGGAAAGTCATGTTAAATGCCTTTCCCAAGGGCACAAGATCAGTGACATGGGCAGGATTCGAACCCTCGACCTCTTGAATCTGGGCTGAAAATGCTTAGCATAATGCTATGACCCCATGATAATGATAATATTACTGTACTGCTGATGAAACTTACATGCGCTGCTTTACTGTCTAACAGGGTTTGTACTCACGAATTGAAGCTAATGATGAAGAGGGCATTTCCTACAGGACAGAAGTAAGGTAAGGGTGCGTTCTGTAAATGCCAGCTTTTTTAACTTAAGTGGAAGAATATCCAGGGCTCGAGCATCCAACTCCAAGATTGGAGCTTTGCATGCAATTATTTTCTGTGGATACACTGCTGCACCCATGTATTTTCATATCTTTCCGAATGTTAAGATATTAAATGTATTACTAGTATACAGCATATTCTTGACGTCAATGTGTCAGAGAAAAAAAGTTTGTTGTTGTACTTTTCAAAGATTTTAAAGTGAGAATTTGGGTTCAGAGGAACAGTAAGGTATGTACATGTATTAGGTTTTGCTGACATGCTACATGTACTTTATATTATATGGTGCACCTAATCCCCAAATCTCTGATATGTAAAGATATCATGTCAATATTGTTTTTATTGTTTTTCTCAAGAATATGAAATGTGATGCAGCAGAATTTGGATCATTTTTGAAAATTCACTTATATACATGTACATTAATTTTTTGTAGTTTTCAGTTGAAAATTAAGAACAGTTATGGTTTAATCTCATCGGTAAAACTATGACTGTGAAGTAAAAAAACAAGAAATGGTATGAATAAATAAATCCAGACATAGCATCTTTTGTAAAAGCATGAATAAAGTACTAGTTATGAGTTATGAGTTAAAGTATTAGTTATTGTCTATATACATTGTAGTATACTTTATTAGGTACACTTTCTCAAACACATGCACACATACACATAGTGCTGCATACCTAAACCAACATTTAGGTTCAGGTCCGGATTCAAGTCCAGAGGTTTAGGTTCAGTTCCGGACTCATAAGTCCGGACCTAAACCCATGGCATATACACATACATATATTTTGGCATATACAAAATTGCATGTTGGCAACCTCGCAATGTTATCTGAGTGAAACTTTGGCCACATAACATGGAGGCCGACACTTGACGATGCCCGATGGCAATGTTTTCTTCATTTTGCAGCAAAGATTTTGCAATATACGGAAGGTTTTAGGTGGTTTGGAAAGAAAAGGGGTATGTGAAATGGTCTTTTATGGTAATAAGTCCGGACTCGGTTCTTGACTTTTAGTTTTTTTTGGACTTGAACCTAAACATTCTTACAAGTCCGGATCCAAGTACATTGAACCGGTATGCAGCACTACACACACACACACTTCTAAACAATTATGTGACATCTGCGTTTTGTCTCCTGTGTAGCTATCTAGAGATCTACAATGAAAGGGTTCGTGACTTGCTAAGAACACCAAGAAAAGGAATGGCTGCAGGCCACACCTTGAAGGTTCGAGAACATCCCAAGGAAGGACCATATGTACAAGGTAAGGCCACACCAATTTAATTTCTTGGTTAACGGATTTTTTACAAAAATAATGGAGCGGGCAGGCGAAAAAAAAAAACACAGGCTCAGGCATTGTATTATGGCCCAAAATGGTACGATAGGAGCCATGAAGTCAACACACCAGGCTGGTTCAATATTTAAACAAAGAATTTTGAACTTTTAATGATACCATTGCATTGAAAGATGGAATAACTGTAACAACTAGGAAGAAAAGGACTGTTTTCAACTGTTCAGGGCAAAATATGAGCATTTTGCAGTTGATTCTGAATTTTTATTTTTATTTCCAAATCAGAAAGAAATGAAGCGGGCGAATCCGTTAACCAAGAAATAAAATTGGTGTGGCCTAAGTCCTAGGAAAAAAATATGTTTCCTGTTTCCCGACGGACAGTAGAAAAACTGCCGACCTGAGCATTTTTTGGTGGATCCCTGCAAGGGACATAAATTTTTTTAGCTGATCAACCTTCTCTAGCTCCATGATCTGACACATTAGTGATGAACTGTTGTACAATCAACTTTCCAACATTGACATTGAAAATAGAAGTGTGCTCTTGAACATTTTACTTTGTTACACTGTATCATATAAGTTGGATCACTAGAGATTGCCAAAGTCTAAAAAAGAGAAGAAAGCAAGTAAAATCTGAGATTTTATACCTTCGGGCTTTTTATTGTATGTTTTTATGTTTATGTTGTTTATAACAATAATTGTTGTGCGCCGCAGGACTAGGGTTTTAAACAAAAAATTTATCGAGACCGGACACCCCTCTGTGCGAGGGGTCACCTTCGTGGACGAGACTGACAATACCTAATACACACCAAAGGTCAACGGTTGCGACCACTTTCACGCTCAAAGGGGTGTTCTGGGGCCACCAAAAGGCACCATTCCCACACCCGAAAATATGTATACAATAAAAAGAAAAGAACGTGCATTATCTGCAGCCCAATAGCAAAACATATACCGAGTCTCAAAAGAATCCGTCCATCCAAACGCGAGAAACATCTGCGAACATGAAAATCTAAATCTCTCACAAAACCCTCTCAGTAAGGTTAAGTCAATTTTGACCCTCCAGCCTAATTAACTCCTGACCCAACTTTCATGCGTAATTCACAATTTCCTGATGTTTTCTGTCCAAAATTTCTGACATGTTTTGATGATGCATAATGTTAAGATACAATCTGACCACATTTGTTTCACATATACCTTATCCATATCTCAATATTAATATAATAAGCACTTGTCAATTTAGCTACCTTTAAACACCTCGTGCTTCGCACAGACATACTTTTTAAAGACAAATTTGGTATGTACGCATTCAGCAAAAAAAACTCTACAACATCCCGTTGAGGCTGTGTCTAGAACTATAACTAGAACAAAGATTTTTCATATTATATAAAAAAATTGACAAAAATATGCCATTGGAAATATTCATGAAGGCATAGCTGAGCACTGGAATCCTCCAAGATAATGGTCTCAACGAGAGATTGTTGTACAACTTGTCTTCTTTCCAACCATCTTTGTTGCAAGTTAGAATAATATAATCTGAGCAAGCACCACTTGATTAAAAAATGGACTACAAAATTTAGACTTTTGGCATCCCTAGATGTGAAATATGACCTCTTTGTTGTTATTTGGGAACAATATGGCTAATCAATTTGTTGACATAGCACCTCACGGTAGGAGAGCAGACTACCTGGGCAGAACAATGGCCTGGCTGTTCACACCTTTACCCAGCGGTGGCTTACCTGCCAGACACAGCTTGGCTTGGTTTTAAAAACAATACACAAACATGTTCACAAGTATGGGAGGTGTATAAACAATTCTCTTTATCTTATCAGAAGTTTTCAAGTGCAACATACATACACATGTGGTTTCCATAAAAATTAACATGGTCATACCTATCATAAAATGTGACTTTTCAAATAACAGCAGTGCCTTTGGGGGGGAAAAAACTAAGCAAAACGTACATGTGTATCCACAACTCTCAACAAAAGAGACAAAACCAGACAGTCAATCATCAGGCAGTTGACCTTGCCTGATACATATGTTTCAAAGTTTCTGAGTCAGCGCAACAGAATTGGGCTAAGTTGAAATTGCTCCCCTGGTCGTTAATATTTTCTACCAGCAAGGGTACAAGTTCATCACAGTTTGATTCGAGTCTTGAATCACACTGTAGTAATACGCAGGGCCAGGGCCTTGATTATAGTGAGGGAATCTCTACATTATTCACAATTCTAAGTTACAATTATAACGTTACTGGTTTGCCGGATGGGAAGCTCAGTTTCTGCAAGGAGGTAAAAAAAATCTGATTTGATTTTCTACATTTATGGTTTCTGTAATTTACCTGGAAGTCTTATGCCAGGCTACAAGCCTATGATATTTATATAATATTACAACAGCTGAGGCTCTGTATGGATCTATAATAATGTGCCTTTCTGTATGTCGAAATGTTGATCTATCAAAGTTAAACATTTGAAATAGTTTATAGACACAGGAAAACGTTTTGAAGTGGCATTGTTAATTCCTTACAATACACATCCTAGCTTGGTTTTCTAGACAGCCAAGCACCAAGGCCGTTCACACTCCACAGGGTGCCAGGTAGCATCCAGCGGCACCCTACCTAAGAAGTTTTCACACTGGGTGGAGAGGGGGCAATTATCGAACAATGGGGAAAAATTGTGAAAATTGCGGTCAAAGGTGGTTGCTATGTGTTGCCAAGGGGAGCCAACGCCCATTTCACTGGGGGCCCAGAAAATGACTTAACCCTACTGAGCTTCCGCGGAAGGATGTCTCCTCCCCCGGAGGTAAAAAAAAGATAACCCCTACCTACCGACCCTAATTTCTTTCAGGACTGAAACTTTTTTCCTTGGCCCAAGTGTGCATGGATGAACAAATTTAGTAATAATATATTGACAAAATTGTAGTAATTTTTGAATGCTCAAATTGTATGCTGCTATCCTTGATATGGATGGAAAAGTGTTTTTCTTTCAGGCTTTAGATATTGTTTTGATTCAACATTTAGTGATCTTGAATGTTAACTGTTACCGGTAAATGTATATCTAAAGACTTTGTTATGTCTACCTATGTGAACCAATGACCTCGTAAGATTAACAGTATACAATATTATACTGTTATGTCTACCTTGCCACTATCACTGTATCACAATATCAAGATATTTCCTAAAGCAACCTTTAAAAGATAGATATGTTGCGTATTATGACATCGTACCAGAGTTGTCAACCGAGGGTTGAAGTGTTCAAAAACTAATTTTTAATTCTAGAACTACGTATCGCAGAGTGGAACTCGCTGTCACCAAGTACAGTAGGGGCATTATCATTAGATAGCTTTAAACAATGTTTAGAGTTAGATGTTCAAGGGTTAGGTGTAACAAGTCGTTTGGTGTAATGCTGCCGGTGTGTTACGACGAAGGGAGGTCATACATGTACCAGCTACACACATGTATACTGCTACAGATACATTTTGGACATGTAACGTTACATGTATGTTAAGTGACATCTTTCAATTTTGGCATTTAACTTAAATTGTGGCCATATTTTGCCTCCATATCTATCAAACCAAATAATATGAGCCCATTTTTGCACATAAATTTGTATTGGATTCAGTGAGCAAGAGAGGGTGAATTTTAGTAGTAAACCCTTGAAAGCAAGAATAAAACAGTGTATTCTGTAATCTTGTTTCTGCTACGTTTCACATTAAGGCCACACCAATTTAATTTCTTGGTTAACGGATTTTTCTAGAAAAATAATGGAGCGGGCGGGTGAAAAAAAACAAAACAGGCCTAGGCATCCTATTATACAATGTAGCCCAAAATGGTACGATAGGAGCCATGAAGTCAACACACCAGGCTGGTTCAAAATTTAAACAATGAATTTTGAACTTTTAATGACACCATTGCATTGAAAGATGGAATAACTGCAACAACAAGGATGAAAAGGACTGTTTTCAACTGTTCAGGGCAAAATACATGTATGAGCATTTTGCAGTTGAATCTTAATTTTTAATTTTAGTTGCAAATCAGAAAAAAATGAAGCGGGTGAATCCGTTAACCAAGAAATTTAACTGAAGAAGATGGCTGCTTGCTCCGAAGGAAGCAGGTGTGATATTGAGTTACATCGTCCCAGTTTCCTGGATGATTCCTTGGAAATTGTCCTTGCGTGAACGTTAACCGTTTGGTTCTTCCCCTCATCCTGGTGTCAATGAGCTGGGGCAAACATTAGGCCACACCAATTTGATTTGTTGGTTCTTGGATTTTTTCAGAAAAAATATGAAGCGACAGGGCGAAGAAAAAAATAAAAAGAGATTTGTGCATCCTATGATAGCCCCAAATATTATAATCATATATGATAGGAGCCATAAAGTCAACATACCAGGCTGGTTTGTTATTCAAGCAATGAAATTTTGATCAACTACAGCATTGTTAGATGAAAAAAACTGTTAGTAACAACTCTGAAGAGAAGGGACTTCCTTCAACTGTTCCTCAAATATTTGGAGTTGATTCAGAGGCTGAAATGTTTGCCCCTCGGCATAACACACCAGTTTCGAAAGCACACAGCACGGCAGCAGCTGGCTAGGTTACTAGAACTTGTTTCACCTATCCTTAGCACATCTAACTCTAAACATCATTCAAGGCTATCAAGACTTAGTGATGATTCCCATATTGTACTTGGTGGCAGCGAGTTCTACTCTATGTTGCATTGAAGTTCTAGGAAAAGACAGTTCTGTACTCACTAATCCCACGTTCTTCTTCCAGACCTTTCTAAACACCTTGTTCAGGACTATGGAGACATAGAACAGCTGATGGACAGGGGAAACAGTATCAGGTGAGGTCCTCACCAAGTTTCTGGAGGCATAAAAGTAATGCAGGGAGGGAATTCGAACCCTAATACATTTATCTGCACAGCTTTAACGTTCATGAAATGCTACGGTGGCCCATAAGTACAGCCCTGCGAATACCTTCCACGTCTGCGCAAATACCTTCCTCGTCAGCACGAATACCTTCCTCGTCTGTGAGAATACCTTCCTCGTCTGCAGGAATACCTTCCTTCGACGAGGAAGCTTTTTCTGTGCAGACGTGGAAGGTATTCGCGCAGACATGGAAGGTATTCGCGCAGACGAGGAAGGTATTCACGCAGACACGCAGGGCTGTACTTACAGGCCACCGTAAAATGCACTTGGTATTTCAAGTCCTGCAGTATTTATTTAACATTTCCCTCAACATATGCCACACTTGCAGTCCTAAGACTGAATTATGGTGATAGTACATACATACATTATCATAAACTTATACAATTATTACTAAGGTTAAAAGTTATAATTACACAACAAGTTTATCAAAGTTATTGCACTAAAACACACTACAAGTACAACTACAATTTATGTACAGTCGAAGTATACAAGATATAATAATAAAACTAGTACAATGCGTTAGTTAAAAGATGCATGTTCGTGTACTATATCAAATTATTAAAATCTTTAACAATATTTCTATTATTTATATAGGATTTATACTAAGTAATTGTAAACATGGGGGATCCTATGATAAAGAACACAGAGTGTTGACTTATGTGTCCTGCTCATTCAGGAGGGTTGTCATATAGGGGATAGGACTTTTTTGTTTTCAGAATTTGTTCCATACATAAATACTGCATCTGATACTAAGGCCATGTTGATTTGATTATATGGATGACATCCTCCGGGAGCCCCAAAACTGATGCGCACGTGCGAATAAAAAAAAAGTTTTGCAAAAAAAAAAGTTGTTTTCATTATGAAATCTACGTGGTCACGAGGGTTGAACAAATGGGACAGAATATGGTTTGGCGAATAATCTAATCTTCAAGTTCATTTCCTTACAATTTCGTCTTTTTTCGTTTGATTTTGGCATTCTACGACATTGGTATAGTTTTTACTTATTTTTTTGTAACTTACGGTATATTTTTGCTCATTTTGCAACTGTTTTGTACGATTTACAGTATGGTTGAAAACTTTTTTTTTGTTGGAAATGGCCGAAAATTCATGCGCGCGCGGATGTCATCCATATAATCAAATCAACATGGCCTAAGGATGGAAGAGAAGTGTTCGCTCCTGTGTCTGATTTAATGTTCTCTTGTCTCCCGTGGTTTTTTCTTCAGGACAACAGCCTCCACCAACATGAATGATGTCAGCAGCCGGTCTCATGCCATCTTCACCATTGTGTTTACACAGGTGAGCTGGTGCACTACCAAAAATGTTTTTTCTTATTTTTCTTATTTTCTTATGTTGAGAAATATTTTCTTGCCAGGGGGATTTTCAAGAAAATTCAAGAAACATTCTTCAAAGATTTTGTAATATACTATGTTGATTCTTACACAAAGAATTTTATTCTTCTTTTTTCTTACGGAAAGAAAATATTTCTATTATCATGCTCACCAACAAGAATCTTAAGAATTTTAAGAAAGTTTACAGTATTTTTTTCCTGCTACAAGAAATATTTTCTTGTGTACAGAATGGTTTTCTTGCTTCAAGAACAGTTAGCTCTTAGTTCAAGAAATATTTTCTTCAGAACAGAATTGTTTTCTTGCTACAGCAAGAAAACTCAAGAAACACATGTTTCTTGATTTTCTTACTACGGGGATTCTTTAATTTCTTGTTCAAAGAATAATTTTCTTGCTACAAGATACCATTTCTTTGTGCAAGGAAAACAAGAAAAAAGCATTTATGGTAGTGATGTGAATCACAATTTTTTCTCGGTACTTTGATATTTGCAGTATTAAATTCTGTCCCTTCTTCTATCATTACTGAATAAATAATTCACCAGCATTCTTTTTGCTGCACTTGCCGCCACCGTGAACGTATACTCTTCCTCTGGGTGGCTGGAATCCTGAACTATCTTACCATACCTGCCTTGATTTATTTGTTCTAGGCCAAGTTCAACAGGGAGATGCCCAGCGAGACTGTCAGCAAGATTAACCTGGTGGATTTGGCAGGAAGGTGAGTGGTGCTGTCACTGGTCTGATGATTGATAACATGGCAGGAGAAGAAGAAGCATGAGGAGGAACTGTAATATTTCACCCATTATTATATAATATACTATACATACTATACAGGTTCATACATTGTAGTATGGGTGAAATTACTGAAATATGATGATTTGGTTGTTAACTGTACGTTGTTTGGTTTGCCAGTGAGAGGGCCAGTGCAACAGGTGCCACCGGGGACAGGTTAAAGGAAGGAGCCAACATCAACAAATCCCTGGTGACTCTGGGAAACGTCATTTCAACCCTCGGTAAGTCAGCCGGAATAAACGCTTCAGCTCACGTGTTTTAGGCCGACTTTAGACTGACGACGGTATATAGTCGCACGATAATTGTTGTGGGCGACGGCTTTCTTTAGACACATGACCAGAAAGCGTGGCGGACACCCGCAGCGCAAGGTGGCACGCCGCGTGAATTCAAAATAGCGAGAGAACCCCTTGTTTTTGTCATGATGCAGCAGATTGTTCTTTTTCTGCTTTTTGTATAAGAACTCGCGTTTCGGAGTATGGTTCCCAACAAAGGGCTATGAGGCACATGTACTGAGATGATAAAATACCTAGGTTTGAACCCAGCGTTCGGTGCTGCCGCCGGAAGGCGGATCGGTACCGGAGAAGTAGCGATTGGTGGTAGGGGATCACACTCGGCATGTTTCACAACATTCAATGGTATACTATACTATAGGCGATGTTTTTGGACAGAAAATAGCGCTTGCAGGCTCATTTGCATATGTTCCATGACATCCTACTTCCTTCGCCGGCGACGGTTCACTTTATACGGAGGAAGCTCCGTCTCGGACCCCCCGCTGAAGGATCGCACGATAGGGTTCGAGGTGGTAGTGATGACGATTCGAGGATTACTGTCGTGCGACTATTTTGATCGTCTTTAGACGGTGGTGAAATACCGTCGCTGGCGACATCTTGACGATAAACATTCGTACGACTATTTAACCGTCGTCAGTCTAAAGTCGGCCTTAGTCTTCAGAAACATCAGTTGTACAGACATACGCACAGGCAGTTTTCTTTAATTTGCTGTAATATGCGTTAAAATTAAATCTACCGTTAAGTGTTGCTGCTCCTCCTCAATCTTTTGGCCCTCCTCTTACCATTAAGAGTTACCAGAATCCCCCCATTCAGAACCTTCTGGCAGGCTGGTTGTACATCATGTACAATGTATGTCACTGTTTACACTACCGAGAGCAGCTATAGCCATGCACATTAGAACATTCTCTACATCAGATGTCCCTTCACCATGTCCAGCTCTGCATATCTGCATATCTGCTGTTGTTTGAGTAAAGCCACACTGACTTAGTTTTATGGATGACATCCGTGCACGTTGATTTTTGCCTGTTCTAAAAAAACAAACAAACAAACAAAAAAATGTCCTCCAAGGCTCTGGCCTGGCTATAGGCCTGGGTACGTAGTCCATTGTAGTTAGCAGCAATACGGAGCCGATGGTAACTCAGGAGGATGGCACCGATTCATGAACTCTGCAAAAAGCCAGCATCTGCCAACTTGCCATAATACATGTACATGTACATGTACCTCGCTATGTACTGCCACAAATTGAGGATACCAGCTATGTATTCCTGTGGTTTAGAAGCATTTTTATTTTATTATTATTGTAGCATAATACGAAGGGGGTTAAGTCTGCCATCTTTGATTGGTTGACAAAACAATGTTTTTTTTTCTGCCTCTGAACCCGGCTACTTTGGGCAGATATGAGAAAACAGCGTGTTTAGTTGACTGTCCACCATGGTTTGGTCTGGGTGCATGTTGTCTTTTCCCGGCTGACACACGCTCATGTCCCACGTGTCCAACACGACCACGTCTGGATCCGCCCGGAACATCTCTCGTATCACCTCCGTGATCTGGTAAGCCAGCCAGTCGCTTCCGAGCAGGTAGAATGCGATCTTTCCTCCGTCGTGATTTCGCGTTGTTCCAGTTCTCACGAAAACCCGCGTGCCGGGAGCCCTGCGCTTGAGACGGTGTATGGCGCCCCGTACGGCGTATAGTTTTGACCGGATCATTTCCAGCGGCTCTGCCGTAAAGTGAGCCCACAGACTCACGACTATTACCGTGTTTGGTCCTCCTGGTTCGGCGTCCAGCGTTTCAGCAATGTAAGGGCGGGTACTAAAGATAGGCCAAGCGCTTCCTTGTAGAGGGAAGTGTTGAAATTGAAAGCGAACAGAAATGTTCCATTGGCTGTTGTCTCCTCCGTAAAGAGCTGTAGAAAAAAGGCACCACTTCTTAATTTGTGACTGACTGTTTGGAATGCCGAAAAGAATTTTCATGCTTCCCCTTTGACGATGTTAAGAAGGTGTTTTTGGAAACATTCACAAACCTGTAAAATCCATGGTACTGCTGTCGTACTTCAACGGCACTACCTTCTGCAGTCGCTGGCTCCATTGTCTGATAGTGGAGTCACCTAGAAGGCATAGACATGATTAAATCTAACGTAACATCCAATGGACTGTATCTAATATATCCAGAAGCGCAATCATTGATTATCAGACCATAACGATGCGTACCTTGAAAGTACACGGTCTTGTTAGCCAGGCACCGCCGGATGTCTTCCTTACCGAACACTCGGACATTGCAGACGGATGACTTCCACACCTTGCCTGACCAATGTCCCAAAGCTGCAGACTTGTCCCAGGTACACGCTGGAAGGTGTTGAGGTGTGGGAAGTTCTGCTTCAAGAACATGTATGGGCTCCTTAGGGTCTAATTCAAGTTCCATCTCAAGATATGGCCTGTGTGGTTTAAAGTTTAAGATGTATCAATGAACTAGTCATGCATTTTCTATACCCCAAGTAATTGTATTGAGGGTATTGATACAATATTTTATGCATACATACATATTTGTAAAGATTTTAAGTTATGCAGAAACATGTTTTTATTAAGAGCCTCATATTTCTTTAGTACTTAATATCCTCTTTATCCCTTGCAAGCATCAAGCCACATGAACTATGAATTACTTAAAGAGGACAACAATGAGAAATTGTCCATAGTAGGACAGCCAGAATACCGGTGTACAGCTAACTGGTGTTGAGACAACTCAGCGTAGGACTTACTTTTGCAAAAGTTTCTTCTCTTCTTTAGATGCCAGTCTCAGGGCCTTCGCCCAGCTCTTGCCCGAGTCCCACCGACACCTTGATATGGCGGAACACGGAAGTTTGTCCGGTTTCTGACAGATCCAGGTCCCGTTCACTTCTGGCTTTGAGAAGTCGCACTGCCGTTGCGGCGACAATCTGGGGGTGGGAGAACTGAAACATTGCCTTTTATGATGTGACTTTGCATTGACGAAAGTGCAGTGGAAGACTCTCTTGTTTGGAACTTCTCGAACTCTCTGTAGAACCTTCACTCCCTCGCTTGGGTGGACCAGCTGAATCTTTATCTGATATAGAACAACAGGTGTGAAGGAGTAGAAGTTATGTATAAAAAGCCACATCGCTGGCAGAACGAGCACATTTCGTTGTAGGGTTTTATTAGAAGAAGATATTGTTGTGCAAAAGAAATCTGTACAAGCAGAATCGAAAAACATAATCAAATAAACGGACAACAACAAGAAATGCAGAAACTGTAAGCTGGAAAAACATTGTAAATATGTATCAAAATGCTGTGGCTTGTACCAAACAGCCTGACTTTGTTGCAAACAAATTCCTTCTGTACTCACTGAAACGTTGCCGGCCCAATAGAGCGAGAACTGCACGGTGTAGATGCCGTTACAGTAGTCAGTGACGTGACCGGCGCTACTGGCCTGCGACGATCGGTCACTACTGACCAGTCTGGCACGGAAAAAATCTCCCCCGTACGTCTTTTTCCTTCGGTTTCTGTCTCTTGCCACCACCATCACGGTAAGAACGTCTCCTTGGTGATACACGCGGTCTCTGTTTAGGACGACAACCTGCGTGTATTTCGGGTACGTCGCCTGGCTGATGTGAGCAGGCCCGTCCAGGACGCAGGAATTGATGGGTGGACCAAAGCTAAGTTTGAACGTCGGCTTCGGAGCATCCTGATCCCGGATCCTGAATCGTTGATAGGGAAACTGCAAGACCTACATGTACATTGTTAGGTTGCATAATATGTGTATCTACAGTAATTGTATTATCATACAAGTAAGCCTGTTGAATAATGTCTTTTTGAAATTATGGGCTGCGCAGCCATTTGAAGGCAGACTTACTAGTTTTGACACACGACCATACAGCCACGTGATCACAGTGGTAGGTCAAAAGTGTGTGACAGTCTGTACTACTCTGTAGCGTCCCCGCCCCAACTATTTGATGGTTGGTAGACAATGCTACTCTGTTTTCGGTAATGTAGACTCATGCATGTTGCATTTTGATTCAATTAGAAGTCTCCTACGGAAAAGCCTTGCACACAACTCCACTGAGATATTGTCGTATTTATGTAGCCTTGAGCATCGGTCACAACCCACCGTACGTGCATCTGCGTGCTGTCTACGTGCAAAAACGTGGGAAAACATAGGGGATCCGTAAGTGGTGAGTACCACCTCCATGTGGAATCCGACGGATTTGGGAGCACGTAGGCACGCCGCAGGACTTAAAACGTATGTAAAACTTTTTCTGCCTGCGGTCTGCGGTCTGCGGATTTACCACACGTACGTGCGAGTACGAGCGGCGTGCGTGCCCCGTACGTAAGCAGCACGTGTGAGTACGGCCTCCTTACAGTGAAGTGGCAATCGCACAGAGATCTCTTTACCACTTGCGCAATGAACGATGCACGCAACCGCTCACGGCCAGACGTGCAGACCACACTCTCACACCTTGTGCAACCGTGCGAGTGACATACGTTTTCAGAAAAACGTAGCAGACGTGGCCTCCCAATAAAACGTATGGACAAAAGGCACGCACGCCGGGTTGTGACCGACGCTTAAGCTAGGTGGGAAAGAAACCTACCATCATGTCAACCATCAGGACAGCAGATATTACTGTTATTTTTAGTGTAGCACTCCACCGTCTTCCGGTACTGGTCATCACTGTAAACAAGGGCACAATCAGAGCACAGGCAGGTGTAAGGATTTAAAAATCTAAGGCCACACCAATTTAGTTTCTCGGTTAACGGATTCTCCTGCTTCATTTTTTTCTGATTTGCAAAAAAAAATAAAAATTCAGAATCAACTGCAAATTGCTTATATTTTGCCCTAAACAGTTGAAAACAGTCCTTTTCATCCTAGTTGTTACAGTTATTCCATCTTTCAATGCAGTGGTATTATTAGAAGTTCAAAATTCTTTGTTTAAATTTTGAACCAGCCTGGTGTGTTGACTTCATGGCTCCTATGATCGTACCATTTTGGGCCATAATAGGATGCCTAGGCCTGTTTTTATTTTTATTTTTTTTTCGCCCGATCGCTCCATTATTTTTCTAGAAAAATCTGTTAACCAAGAAATTAAATTGGTATGGCCTAATAGATAGTTAACGAGGCGGCCTACAATTGACCATTCACAGGTTTCTATGCAGTTGGATATTTGTACTGCGTAATCCAAGGCCAACTTAACTAACCCATCTAGCATATTATTCAGTCTTCATGTATTTGTCCAATTCCTACGTTTTTTCAGCAATCCCCTGGAGTCTGGCAGAGACTATAGTTTACTGAATGACGACATTTGGGTGTATACTACGTCATAGTTTGCTGGATCGTACATAACAATTGCAAATGCATAGATCAACATTGATTCAAGTCACATTCATCCCTTATCCTTCCAACTACCTGTAAGAAACAGGAGGAGCCAGTAGAAACCTTCTGGTCCCGGGCCAGGGTTCGAACCCACAACCTCCCGGGCACCAGAGCTTCATAACCACACACTCTAACCGCTAGGCCGAAAAGGTCTAGACCCGTTTGCCGGATCTGTTGGTAGCGCCTATAAACCCCCACAGTTACATACCCCACTCTGCCACATACATACATGTATTTACTTCCGCCCAAATAACTTTGGCAACAATATTCGAGGGCCTGCATGCCCTTGTCATAAGTAATCAGGCCTTTTTAGTGTTCCTAATCTGTAGACAGTCGCCCAAACTCATCGTACATTAGCCGTAACGGGAATTGTTCGTAATCATCTCTTAGAATTTAACGCAGTTTGTAAAAGTTTGCATAATTCGTACTAACTCCCCCATGTAGGTCCTCATATTTTAGTCAGTTTCATGCGTCTGTCTAATGGACCTTTACCATTATTACGTCACAGTTTGTTTACCTGTTCCAAAGAACATTCTAGAACAGTCAGTTAAAGAGTAAAGATCATTTCAATGTTTTCAATGTACATGTAAGGTATGTCTGATTTTTGCTGTGTCTAGTTGTGTTGACACAGCATTACATGCCGCATGGGTGATTTAGTTGTGACATTAGACGAAAGTAGTACTGTATTAAAAGCCTTATATTAGGCTAACGCTACACAAACACACACCGCGCTACGCACCCCTGTACAATATAAACGTCGATTGACCGGCATTCATTGTGGTAAACAAACTGTGACGTACATGTAATAATGTTATAGGTCCATTGTCTCTGTCATTAGTGTAGAAAACTGTTCTCGAATTTTCAAACAGAGTTTTTTTTCCATGACGAAATAATAACCACACACAATAGTTTCCCATGTAGCTTTTCAATCACTGTTCACAGAATATCCATTCCTTCCTTTCTGTTGTCCCAAAAATGTCCCAAAGTGTCTTTTTAGTTGTCCCGGCCTAAATTTTAGTGGTCAGTGGCCACAGGGACACTGTTAATTTCGAGCCCTGAAGAGGACTCTTCAATCGTGCAGTGCTGATCTGTCTAATAGTATCTGAAATAAAGCCTACCTTCTCTCTTGTGGTACAAGCCTAATGGCCTTCCTTCAAAGACTCAGGTGCAGCCACATACACGTACTTCTTCAAACAGTAACACTGAACTTGCTCTACTCGGCAAAGGTAACAATAAATAATCTGAAGCATTGAAGAGCTGCTTACATTTACATTATGCTGTAACCGATGTCCTTGGCGAGGTAAGCAATTTTACTGTGAACGTTAAGCACATGTTGCCTTAGGCAATTGTGCATCAAATTCGGTCTAACCGGTCAGTTCAGTAATGCAAAGATATGAGACACAGTACAAAATGTTGTCACAGTTTGCTTACTAGTGACGCAGGTCAACTGTGATCATTGCGATCTTTCATGGCACACATTCTCAAGCCTGCATTCTCATTATAGTTTTTGTGCATTTGGAAAATAGATATACATTGTAGATAATTTTGATGTTAGGCCACACCAATTTATTTTCTTGGTTAACGGATTTGCCCGCTTCATTTTTTTCTGATTTGCAAATAAAAATAAAAATTCAGAATCAACTGCAAAATGCTCATATTTTGCCCTGAACAGTTAGGAACAGTCCTTTTCTTCCTGGTTGTTACAGTTATTCCATCTTTGAATGCAAAAGTATCATTAAAATGGCAAAATTCATTGTTTAAATTTTGAACCAGCCTGGTGTGTTGACTTCATGGCTCCTATCGTACCATTTTGGGCTACATGTATAATAGGATGCCTAGGCCTGTTTTTATTTTTATTTTTTTTCGCCTGCCTGCTCCATTATTCTTCTAGAAAAATCCGTTAACCAAGAAATTAAATTGGTGTGGCTTTATGCAGGTTTGTGTTATACCTTACAATTGGGGAAATTATATGTATTTACCGTGGCCACAAGCTGGTGAATCGCAGTGACATGTTAGGCAATTATAACATTAAGATGCAGTCATTAAACATTACTAGTCTCGATATCTGATCATTAATTGGGTGTGTCAAGGAGTAAAAGATCACTGACTTCATTTTATGGGCGACATCCGCCGTGCATTGATTTTTGTCCTAAAAAAAAATCACCTCCAGACCTCCAAGGCTCTGGCCTACATGGGTGCCATCCTCCCTACATGTACATGTACATGTAGCTAGTGACAATAGGGAGTAAACTACAGAGGACGGCACTCAGGCTGCCAAAGCTCCACAGAACTCAAGAACATTGCTGACTCATACATGCCGCAAAAGGCCAGCATGTGCCGGCAACTCACAATACCAGCTTTCTATTCCTGTGGTTTAGCTGCATTTCTTTTTTCGATTGTCCCCCTTTTTTTAATTCGCTCGCAGCTACTAGTTTGTTTCCGAGTAATGGATCATATGTATTCCGTAAAATTTGTATGTTTTCTTAGTAGTAATGGATCGTATGTATTCCGTAAAATTTGTATGTTTCCTTAGTAGTAATGGATCGTATGTATTCCGTAAAATTTGTATGAATTCCGTAAAATTCGTATGAATTCTTTGGCACCCCTGTCTACCAACACAGATAAACTTCCAAGCTTAATCCTGATCTTTTTTGTTATCTAGCGGACCAATCCATTGCCAGCTCCTCAGGTCATGGCAGCAAGAAGAAGTTCTTCATTCCGTACCGAGACTCTGTCCTGACCTGGCTACTCAAGGACAGCCTGGGAGGGAACTCCAAGACAATCATGATCGCAAGTCAGTTCCATTGTCTTCTTTTTCTTCTTCTTTTTTTTTTTAACGGTGTCGCTCAATGCAAGGCCATTTTTGGCCACTTCTATGCATAGAGCTAGAGGTATAGAACTGTAACAGCAACAGCAACTCTTCTCCCTGAGTCAGAAACATCATGATTGAGACCAGCCCAATTTCTCACAAGTATTGAGGACTAACTGACCCAATAGGAGAAGCAGGGGTTACGAGGCTGGTCGGGAAAAAAGCCATAATGGTTTGTTTCACTTCCGCTCACGTGGATTCTTTAACGTGCTTGAGGTGTGTCTCTCCTCAAACACGGGACCTCCATTTTAACGTCCCATCCGATAAGACGCCCCTAACCGAAGCCAGGTACTCATTTTCACCTGAGTGAAGTAAGGAAAGTCGTGTAAAGTACCTTTCCCAAGGGTACAACGTCGCGGCGCATGTTCGGACTTGTTCGGGTACGACCCGGAATCGAACCCGGGTCTCCCTGTTTCATTGTCCAGTGATGTACCACTACACCACACGACACCACACGCTTTTGGTACAGTGACACTTGCCGTAAATTCATTGATATCATATTAAGGCCAAACCAATTTAATTTGTTGTTTCTCAGATTCGTCCCGTCCATTTTTTTCTGATTTGCAAAAAAAAAAAAGATTTTAGGTTCTGAATCAACTGCGAAATGCTCAATGAAAGACATATTTTGGCCCCAACGGTTGAAGAAAGTCCTTTTCTTCCTAGTTGTTTAAGTTTTTCAATGTAATGATGAATGCAACTTCATTTCATTGAAAGTTCAAAATCTATTGTTTTAATTATAAAACAGCCTGGTATGTTGACTTCATGGCTCATATCGTAACTTTTCTGGCTACCATGGGGTGCCTTGGCCTGTTTTTTTTTATTTCTCCCTAGGCCTGTTGCTTCCTAATTTTCTGAAAAAAATCAGAGAAACAACAAATTAAATTGGTCTGGCCTAATCCTCTATAACTGTGTTTCCGACCAGGCCATACTTTACGATACAGCCCGGGCTTCTATGCCTTTCATAGAATAATTTGAAGGCATTTTGTCCTAACCGTATGCACTGCTTTCGAAAATTCGAAAACAGGATTTGGACATTGGAAAAATTATTGATGTTGTTGCATTTTTTGGTGCAGGGACACCAAATTTTTCGCTCATTTTGCTCATGAAAATTACTTGCTGTGGCCTAATTTCAATGTGAAAACATTGTCACGTATTGACTGTTGTTTTCCCTATGTGTACAGCTATCTCTCCTGCAGCTGTGAACTATGGAGAAACCCTCAGTACACTTCGCTATGCAAACAGAGCCAAGAATATCATCAACAAACCCACTATCAACGAGGTAAGTAAACCAACCAAACATTGTATTTTCCATCTTTTATCAATTACAATGCAACAGTTGCTGCTTTATGAAATGTACAATTTTGTAAGTGGGTTTTGAAGATATTTATTGACTTCATTATGTCATGTATTTCATATTTTGTCGTGTGAATAAGGTCACGTGTCTGTAACCGTAATCCTCATGAAATTACGTACTTTTGAAGTGATTGGTCATTCATTAAACCTGATGAAGGTGACAGTGGTCGTTGAAAATTTGATTTCTGTGAAACCTTGTGTTGGAATAAAGTTCAACAATAAATTTACTATATTTCATACCAATTTACAAATTTTGCTTTTCCTGACAATTGCTTGTTAGGCTACACCATTTAATTTGTTGGTTCTCGGATTCGCCTCTTCATTTTTTTTCCTGATTTACCAAAAAAAAAAAGATTAGCTTTCTGAATCAACTCAAAAATGCTCATATTTTGCCCCCAACAGTGGAAGAAAGTCCTTTTCTTCCTAGTTGTCGCAGTTTTCCATCTATCAATGCAGTACTACTAGTGGTTTGATTTCATTGTTAAAGTATTAACCCAGCCTATCGTAGCATTTTGGGCTATATTAGGACACCTAGACCTGTTTTTATTTTATCTTTTTTCGCCATGTCGTTTCACTTTTTTTTCTTTAAAAATTTCGAGAACCAACAAATTAAATTGGTGTGGCCTTAATAGAAAGAATGTTGCCATCTCAGCAAATGTAGAGCATGCTCAGTTACGTGACCTCTGACTTCCCTCCCTTATTACGACCTGGCATGACCCCGATTACGAGTAACGGATCACGTTTATGATATTGTTTTTGGTGTATATATTGTTGTATTTCCGTGTATATAATTATGTGTCGTACCCAGGGCCACTCTGTAAAGCAGTCCTATGTCACTAAGTAGTGCCACCCTGGTAAAAGAATACAGAAATAAATTTAAAAAAATAAATAAATAAAAAATAAATAAATGTTTCTACTCTGAATTATTGGTGACTGAATTTTTTAAATTTTCCCCCTCTACTCATAGGATGCCAATGTGAAGTTGATCCGTGAACTACAATCAGAAATTATAAGGTTGAAATCCTTACTTGGAGGAGATGCTGTAAGTACCATAATGTTGATCTTCTGTAGAATTGGTTTGTTGTATTGTTTTAAATTTGTGGTTGAAACAATAAGTAGTAATAAAAAGTAGTAATACAATGCATATTCAAAGAGCATGTCGGCAGAACGTACTGCGCCTGGCCAAAACCCTTATTTTTCACGGTTTTTCGTTGGATGTTTGGTCAATGTTGCATCAGAATTTTGCCTGCTGTTGCAGAAGATATCTTTCTCGACATAAAATAATTTGGAAACTACAGACGGGATGTTAAACTTATATACTATTGTACGTGAATACGACCTTACATTGAGACATTCTGCTGAAGTGCTGTGCACAATACATTACAGGTTTTGCATAGGCGCAATGCATTCTACCGACGTGCAAATAGACAGTGTCATGAATTTGTCTTTGAGAAGAGACATAGCCACATTACGTAATATCCAGCGTATATTGAATGACACAGACAACCCTCTGCATGATTTTATATGTGTCAGGTTGCAAAGTGCTTCAAAGGCACGCCTGCCATTCAGCAGAACAAAACATCATTATATTAATTTTATACTAACACGAGTATTGAATTTATTGTCTGAGCATACAGCATAGTGCTATAATTATAATCTTATATACAGCTTGTAATATGACGTTTGATATTTACGATTCTTGAATTGTATGTACATGTATCTGTCAGGAATTTTGTTATAATTTTTATGATTGATAAATGCAATGTGCACAGTGTCTCTGAGAATTGGACATACAGTCATGAAATTCATGTTACATTGGGTATGTGACAGTCGATTCTAAATACAGGTAAAACTTAAATTTAAGTACTGATACTGATACGTGTATACATGTACGAAGACATGTACGTGAGAATAAAATCACTACAAAAGTTTTGAGACTTACAGTATTGTACCCTTTTATACCTGTAGGCTGTTGTATGACTGTAACAATAATGTTGACCATACAATGTTGACCATACACTGCTGATTACAGGGTGTTTCCAGCATGTCTCCGTTTGGACCACATGAGGCAGAGCTGAGGAAACTTCAGCAGAATGAAGCTCAGGTAACTTTTCATTTTCATTACTTATTACATATAAAAGGGATTTGATTTGATTTTGATTTATTAGGCTGAATAAGACATATGTATACAGCCAGGACTGCCCAACTATAGCCGGAGGCTATTATAAAGGGCTAGCCCTCATAACAAGAACATAAACAATTCGGAACAGGTAACAGTTAACAGTGTCAGTTACACTTCAGATAAACATACTATTACATAACAGATGTTGCGGTCTAACGTTAACAAGTTATGAGATCTGGCCTAGTCGTCGTGCGTTTACTATAATTACATTGTGAACTATATTCACATGTCAGGTTAACATACTATTACATAACAGATGTTGCAGTCTAACGTTAACAAGCTATGAGATCCGGCCTAGTCGTCGTGCGTTTACTACAATTACATTGTGAACTATATTTACATGTCAGGTTAACATACTATTACATAACAGATGTTACGGTGTAACGTTAGGGTTAACAGGTTATGAAATCTGGCCTAGACGTCACGCATTTACTTTTTGGGAAAACGGGTGTCCTTTTAAAATTCATGACCAAATTAAGATGAAAATGACAGACAGAAGGACTTAACAAGAAATACAGATATCAACAGAATAAAAGTAATAATCATTATTGTAACGAAAATACGACTACTAAAAATAATTATAACAAATATTAACAATGAGATTATAAAGTGATGCAAAATAAAAGAGCACTGCTTAAGAAGAAAGTAACGCAAAGACTTAACAAGTCAAAGAAATAACAAATCATTGGTAACATATCGACCAAAAACAATAATTGAAACAATGATAAGGACAAAATTATAATACATGTAACGTACATTTGGGCACACAAATTTGATCAATTGGTTCTCAGATTCACTCGTTTCATTTTTTTCTGATTTAAGAAAAAGGATTCAAGTGCAGAATCAACTCTAAAATGCTCATATTTTGGCCCAAAAGTTGAAGAAAGTGATATTTTGGCCCAAAGGTTGATTGTCCTCATAACGTTGTTGCAGTTTTTCCATCTATCAATGCAGTGGTTTGATTAAGAGTTTGAAATTCATTATTTATTATAACAAACCAGCCTGGTGTGTTGACTTCATGGCTCCTACATGTATCATAGCATTGGATGCCTATATATAGGCCTGTTTTTGTTCACTCTGGGACTTCATATTTTTTCTGCAAAATTCTAAGAACCAACTTACAGATTAAATTGGAGTGGCCTTAGTTTGTTGTATTCTATAGTACAGTACATAATATTATGAGTTGTCCAGTAGTTGATAGTCACCCTTCCTATAGATTCCCTGCTCTTGTTGCTCACTGACAACTTGCACGCTACTGTAAAGGGTCGCAGTCCTTAGGACGGGAAGTTAAGATGAGATGACAAGATGACAATTATGCAAATCAGGAGCTAATTTGCATAATCAATGAGGTAATTCTAAAAATCTGCTTCGTTCGATAATAGGACCATGAAACACTTGTGACATATGTAATTGAGAACAAGAACAACATCTGAAGATATAGATTATGTAAATGAAGACATAATTTGCATAATTAACGAGACATTTAATATATAATTTTTGTAGTCTTTTTTTAAAATATTTATTCATTTCACACTTTTAAGAAAACAAAACACTGTAACATAAACAACAAGTTAAAGTTCCACGACCTCATACCTTCGCCAAATGATATTGATTTGTGGACGAATTTGACATTTTTATTCACTGATTTCCCAAATAAGAGCATCATTTACAAAATGTACATTGGGTTATATCTGTTGATCATTTTCTCCACCCAATCAGACAGCCTGATCTTAACAAAAACGTTATTCTAGCACTTCCTCATAAATTATGCAAATATGGTTGTGATTTGAATGAATTATGTTATTATTGTTCACCTTCACTTACATTGTAACTTCCAAATGCAGCAAATATGAAATTCCCAGCAGTTACTACTATGAAATTACATAAATTTCTCGTTAATCATGCAAATTACGTCTTCACTTACATAATCTACATGTATATCCTCAGATGTTTTTTTCATTCTCAATTACATGTCACAAGTGTTTCATGGTCCTATTATCGAACGAAGCAGATTTGTAGAATTTCCTCATTAATTATGCAAATTAGCTCCTGATTTGCATAATTGTCATCTTGTTATGTCAAGCATCACTTCAGCTACTTACATACCAAAAATCATGACAATCGGTCAACCGGTATCTGAGGGCTTGAAATTCATTTTTGGGAATAGGTGCACTGGTGCACCCAACATTAAGATTTAGGTGCACAAAAATTTTTTTGTACTTCAACAAAGATTTTATTATTTTCTGACACTTAGATGCCAGCAATATCCTTCATACTATAATACAGTAATGATATGTACAAAAATACCTACAAAAATAAAGATTTTTCAACAAACACTCCTGCAGTTTCAAAATAAGCCGCTAGGGGGCCCAAACCAATGTCATCTCTTCCCTGGCCCAAGAGCTACATGTATCTACCACCAAAATTCGTGACCCTAGCATGTATAGATCACGAGATATCAAAACCAGAAGTTCTTCTGCAGTACCTAGGAAAGCCGCCAGGGGCCCCAAATTCTAATCATTTCTAGCCTCTCCTAAAGACCTAGTACCCACCTACCAAGTTTCACAACAATGCATATTAAGCTTCTTGAGGTATGCTGTTCACAGACAAACAGACGGACAAACGCTGCTGAAATTATTAACCTTCTTGGCGAATAATAATAAATATAGGTAATGATGAGACGTCACGGAATCGGGATTCTAACATCTGGTACCAGCTCAAACATTATTACTACATGACATTGTATATCAGGGCTCGAAATTAAATTTTGCATAGGTGCACTGGTGCACCCAACCTAAAAAATTAGGTGCACAAACATTTTTCTGGGTGCACCACATGAAACAAAACCTAATTGCAGGTCTTACTTCTCCTCTTCTGAGCTTGAATCTAAAATGAGAGCTAACTTCAAAATCTGAAACATTACTACAACAAAGATTTTATTATTTTTCTGATACATAGAGACCAAGAATATCTGGTATACTATTATACACTTCTAATGTTAAAAATTCCTACAAAAATATTTGGGTGCACCAGTGCACCCACAGAAAAAAATTAGGTGCACAACTCCAATTTTGGGTGCACTAAGGTGCACATGCACCCAGTATTTCGAGCCCTGTATATTCATTACAAAACGACTTTAAAAATAACATTACCTGCAGATGATATCAGTTTGAGTTACAGTTGTATGTTGAACTTTCTTGTGCTGCAACAGCGCCCCAAAATCTGTGCACATGTACATGTATACAGCCTTACTTTGATAGTGTACGTAACATTTGGCTTTCCTAGTGTAAGCTGAAGTTGTCACGTTCACACTTAGTGATGGGTGAACTGTTATGTTTGTTGTTAGGTGGTTCCCATTGTCTGCCACCTTGACAAGTCAAGTCACGGAATCTAGTCTTTATTGTTAACCAACAAAAGGTTTCGATGTGTATATATATTATATATATATTGATTACATTCTGTCAAAAGCACTTGGCCATGAACATGAATATTAATGCACTATTGTGTGACATATGCGATGTGCTGTTTGAATTGCGCTCACGCTACATTCAATTTGTCACTGTAGAATAAGACAGTAGAGATGGTAGACATCTATTGCGTACTGCCTTTTGTCTGACGTAGATACATTGTATAATTGTTACCTTCGCCAAGAAGGTTATGTTTGTCCGTTTGTCTGTCCGTTTGTCTGTCTGTGTTTGAACAGACAGCATAACTCAAGAAGCTTAATATGCATTGTCATGAAACTTGGTAGGTGGGTAGGTCTTGATGAGACCTAGAAATGTCACATTGTCACCTAGTTACTGTAGTAGATTCTTTGTACAGTAAATTATACTGCGATTCATAGCAGCCAAAATTCAATTTTTACAATGTTTGGATGCTCATTTCATTAGAAAGATTACAGAGCTCGAAATACTGAGTGCTGTGTGCACCTTGGTGCACCCCAAATTGGAGCTGTGCACCCAGATATTTTTGTAGGTATTTTTGTACATATTAAATTACTGTTACAGTATAATACATGTAGTATATAGTATTAAGTAATATTAGGTAAGTGATAGTATAAGAAACAGATTACGTATACAGGATATTCTTGGCATCTATAGGTGTCAGGAAAATAATGAAATCTTTGTTGTAGTACTTGTTTAAGATTTTGAAGTTAGCTCTCATCTTAGATTCAATTAGGTTTAGAATCAATTAGGTTTTGTTTTATTTGGTGTATCCAAAAAAAATTCTGTGCACCTAATGTTTTAGGTTTGGTGCACCAGTGCACCTATTCCCAAAAATGAATTTCAAGCCCTGGATTACATTATGTGTTATGTGGTATTTAGGTTATCCTAATGTAAAATTGCCTCTATTCATTTTTACTTTGTCAATCAGGCTCCTGGTAATGGTGCCATGTTTTGTAGCTCAGATTTTTTCAACAAGCAACAGGAAGCCACAAAGTACTCGGATCAGTCAAGGAGAAAAGTACATGTCTTATTTGGTTAGGCCACACCAAGTAAATTTTATGGATGACGTCCTTTGGAAACCCTAAATGTAATGCGAGAGGGCGAAAAAAAAAACAAGAAGGGCCCTAAAAAACAAGATGCCTAGATTAGAAATATACTAGAGACGACAAATGTTAGGACACAAATTGAATGAGGTGACACAGTGTAACAAGCAAGACGTCTTTTATTCATCATCAAAACAGCAATAAATCAGGTGGAACAACAGTTGTCGTCCTGTGCTTTGGGGAGATAGATGGAGCGGTCAGCAAGTTTCTTCAAATGTGGCAGCATGTACCAAACTGAAGTCCTAATTGAAGTCATTATTTCCTTGCTTGATGCTTCATCAGCTTTGGTCCGTACAAACCTATTTGCGGCACTGTCGTGACTCTTTGGTCATAGTTACAGGAAGCGGAATTTCTTTTTTTTTTCTAGGGACAGGCCAAAATCAATGCGCTCGCGGACGTCATCCATAAAATTTACTTGGTGTGGCCTTAGGCCCAATGTTTTTGAAGGAAGGGAAGCAGACAAGGAATGACAAATGTAAGACCTCTGCCCCCCTCCTCCTCAGGCTATGTTTGGCTGTACACAAGGTTGACATTTTGAATGCTCCAATAAGACAGACGGTAGAATGTCAGTCCTCATCCTAATGACCTCTGATGTATGTCAGTATGTCATCAGATCAAAAGATAACCTTCAGAAGGCTGTTCTCACACTGACAGTATTAAGGGTGGATCTAGTACTTAGGCCACACCAATTTAATTTTTTGGTTCTTGGATTCGCCTCTTCATTTTGTTCTGATTTGCAAAAAAAAGAGAAAGATTTGAATCAACTCAAAAATGCTCATATTTTGCCCCAAACAATTGAGGAAAGTCCTCTTCTTCCTAGTTGTTACTAACAGTTTTTCCATCTATCAATGCAGTGGTTTGAGTAAAAGTTCAAAATTCATTGTTTGAATATTAACCCAGCCTTTTGTGTTGACTTCATGGCTCCTTTCGTAGCATTTGGGGCTATAATAGGATGCCTAGACCTATTCTTATTTTTATTTTTTTTCGCCATGTTGCTGTACTGTCGATCAGTGGTTGCTGTCTGTATCTGTATAGCCGGTATAACCGCCCTTCAGCCTAACACACCAGCTTCTGTATCTGTATAGCCGGTATAACCGCCCTTCGGCGTAACACACCAGCTTCGCAGGCACGCGGCGCGGCGGCAGCTGGCTACATTACACCGAACGACTTGTTACACCAAACCTTTGAACATCTAACTCTAAACATTGTTTAAGGCTATCTAGTGATAGCTACATTAATTTTGTAATGTCTAGTGGAAGAGAGCCTTAAAAAGGTTAGTAGGTTGACCTGTGGAGCCTGTAGACAGAAAGACTGTACAGAAAGTAATCAACGATAACTTAGAGGCAGCTGAAGACAGCCTATGTATGTACGTAATGATTGTAGTTTACCAAATGCTACCCTATTACTCAGTGCAGGAGGTCTCACCATTAGGGCCTGTGTACTGCAAACAGTGGTGCCAGGAAAAGTTCACATGTACTTCAGTCATGGCGTCAGCGTTTAATTACTAGTCTTGTAGGGGTGAATATGAATATGACGTGCTCCATTTAATTTATGATTTTTGTGAAACCTGGGTTTGGACTACATGTAAGGGATATGTTTTAAGAAAGCTCATTATGAATTCAGGAGTCATAACAAAAGCCACCAGGGGGCCCAAAATCTAATCATTTCTAGGTCTCACCAAGACCTACCCAGCTACCAAGTTTCATGACAATGCATATCAAGCTTCTTGAGTTATGCTGTTCACAGACAGACAAACAGACGGACAAACGCTACTGAAAACATAACCTTCTTGGCGAAGGTAATAAAGTACTACATGTACAAGGAGTTATGCTTCAGGATGAATTTCTCGACAACTCTTAAAGGCAGCTGAAGACAGCCTATGTATGTACGTGTGTAGTTTACCAAATGCTACCCTAATAAAGTATTACTCAGTGCAGGAGTTCTCACCATTAGAGTCTGTGTACTGCAAACAGTGGTGCCAGGAAAAGTTCACATGTACTTCAGTCATGGTGTCAGCCTGCGTTTAATTACTAGTCTTGTAGGGGTGAATACAAATATGACGTGCTCTATTATGACTTTTGCGCAACCTGGGTTTGGACTACATGTAAGGGATATGTTCTAAGAAAGCTTATTATGAATTCAGGAGTCATAACAAATAAAGAACTGCATGTACAACGAGTTATGCTTCACGATGAATTTTTTCGACAACTCTTAAAGGCAGCTGAAGACAGCCTATGTATGTACGTATGTAGTTTATCAAATGCTACCCTATTACTCAGTGCAGGAGGTCTCACCATTACTTGGGTATTAGGGCCTGTGTACTGCAAACAGTGGTGCCAAGAAAAAGTTCACATGTACTTCAGTCATGGTGTCAGCCTGCGTTTAATTACTAGTCTAACTTGTAGGAGTGAATATGTGCGCCATTGCACAATCTACCATCATGTGGGGTCGTGTGGCATAACGGTAGAGTGTTCAACTCAGAAACAACAGGTCCCGGGTTCAAATCCTGCCTGATGCTACCGATCTTGTGCCCCTGGGAAAGGCATTTTACACGACTTTAACTCAGGTGGAAAGGAGTACCTAGCTATGGTTAGGGACGTCTCTCGGATAGGACGTTAAATGGAGGTCCCATGTTTGGGGAGAGCCACACCCCACGCATGTTAAAGAACCTACCGCACTTATCGAAAAGAGTAGGGGACCTTCCCGGTATAAGTGGTTCAAACCTTACAGTCCGGTCTTACGCAGCTTGTACGTACATGTACAAAACTAGTGTGTTATACTTAAAAGAGGCGGTTTACCAATTATCGGAAACAAACTACCAGATACGAAAAGTTTTAAAGAAAAATTAATGATTAATGTGCTACATGGAGTTACACTTCACTGTGAATTTCTTGACAACTATTAATGTTGAATGAACATGGCTGGCTACGATTATCAGCAAACTAAAATGGCTCGCTACGCCACACAGAAAAAGGCATGCAGACGCTCTGTGAGGTTCCCACAGTTGAGTGACTTTGGTGAGCCACAGCTCATTATTGTCAGTTGGGATGGAGAGGTTACAGATGCCTGGTGGGAAATATCACCACTGTCTCGTCCAATATTCGTGGGGCATAACGGTAGAGTGTTTAGCTCAGACCCAAGAGTTCCCGGGTTCGAATCCTGCCCGATGTCACCAATCTTGTGCCCTTGGGAAAGGCACTTTACACGACTTTCCTCACTTCACTCAGATGTAAATGAGTACCTGTCTGACCTAGCTTCGGTTAGGGACGTTCCTCGGATAGGACGTTAAATGGAGGTCCCCTGTTTGGGAGAGCCACACCCCATGCACGTTAAAGAACCCAACGCACTTATCGAAAAGAGTCCGGTGTTACGCAGCTTGTACTGTACTTACATGTACAAAACTGGTGTGTCACGCCTAAAAAAAGGCGGTTTTCCAGTTGTGTGCAACAAAGAAGCAAAATATTGAGGACATTTCAGTCTGCATGTACAGTTCACCGTGGCTCCAAATTAATTTTTGGGAGTTGCCTAAAAAAATTAAGTGCACTCAGACAGTGATAACATAATTTATTAAGATAAAATAAAATAAAAGCTACTTATATATTGCCACTCTTTAGAATCTGAAATTCTCACCAGTAACTTCAAAAAGATATACGAGTGATCCAAAAGGTTTTTATCATGTTTTTTGACACTTAAATGCTGTATAGGTACTATTTACAAGAATAGTACCTTTAACTTAAACGTACGTAACCCTACACAAGTAGCCAGGTGCATCTGTGCACCCATGGCTTCTCTGAAAAATTATAATCTTAGGTGCACATCTACAATTTTGGGTGCTCAAAATGTAACACATGTATATACGTAGCACAGTGTATTTTGAGCCCTGATATGTATATACAGTCATGTAGTATATTCATCAAGTGCTTATCAGCACATGCTGTTCTTTGGTACACTCAATATTGCTTCAAGAGTTGCCAATCCATATTCAAGGCCATTTAATGCAAACACCACCTCTTATCCTGATTACCCAAACACCAATATTATTGAAAATAAAAATCCTCCAACCGTTCCATTTCAACTTTGATCATTTAATCGATTTGTATTGTACTTATATTGTATTGCTTCTGTATTGATTGAATTTGTATGTACTTTGTATGTATATTGCTATTGTATAATATTGAATTGAATTTGTGAGTGAGTGAAGTCTTGGTAGTTCTTGAGTGAGTGAAGTAATTGTATTTTGATATGCCTTGTATTTATGCACTTAGGTGTCAGTGGTAGCCGCTACCAGCCTTGTTGCTGCCTGGTTGCCACTGCCTGGTTATGCACTGTTGCATTTAAATAAACAAACAAACAAACAAACAAACAAACAAACAAACAAACGATCATGATGCCATGTGTCTGACCTTCTGTATCTTGCCACAGGTGAAAGAGCTCACCGCCCAGTGGATGAACAAGTGGAAGGAGACATACGATATCATGAAGGTAAGTGGGTCAAAGGTGATCTGCTTAATGAACGTTAGACAATGTCGATGAAAGTTAGACATCCAGGTAATAAGATTCGCCATAAAGCAGTAACTGTTACTAATTTAAAAGCAATTCTTCTCTGGTCTCTCAGTCACTGACGAAAGCTAGTGCATGCTAGCTGAAAAGTTTCCAAAATCATATCCAGTTGCTTGAGTAACTGCTTTTTGGCAAACTTTAGACATTCAAGTTCATATTTGCACTGACACTGCCACCCATGGTTTTATCTGCAAATCTAAACAGTAAACAATAAAAGAATAACGTCAATCTAACTTGCAATCGAATCCCTAACCTAAACTTGAAATAACTCATAATTGATGTCAGACACTCACTCTACAGTAACTGTTATACGTGTTTCGTAAATTATCTTTGAGCAAAATTGTTCTAGAATTTTTTGTTGAACAAGCAAATTTTAACATGTTGTATTGTTGTAACGATCATAACAGTTATCTACATTTCTATCCTTTTGCACATGTACCCACAAGGGTCACCCACTTGGTCCAGCAGGCATAGGGAGGGTGTCCAAAAGATCAAAACATATGTTATTCTTTACTGTAAATGTATAATCCTTTTTAGACCTCTGTAAATAGCCTCACAATTCAGCCCTCCATGGCTGCCAGGAGGCATTAATGATGCAAATTAGCACCTGATTTGCATAATTGTCATCTGATTATGTCAAGCATCACTTCAGCTACCTACATACCAAAAATCACGACAATCCGTCAAGCGGTTCTTGAGTTATCATCCTTCGAAAATTTTTCAACAAATGCTCCTGCAGTTCCAGAACAAGCCGCTAGGGGGCCCAAACTCATGTCACTTCTTCTCTACGCCAAGAACTTAATCTACCAACTAAAATTTGTGACCCTAGCATGTCCAGATCGTGTCTGAGATATCAAAACCGGAAGTTCTGCTGTAGTACCAACAAAAGCCGCCAGGGGGCCCAAAATCTAATCATTTCTAGCTCTCATCAAGACCTACATGTACCTACATACCATGACAATGCATACTAAGCTTCTTGAGTTATGCTGTTCACAGACAGGCAGACAAACAGACACAAACTGACAAACGCTACTGAAAACATAACCTTCTTGGCGAAGGTAATAAACCAGTCAACTACACTCAATCTACAAACTACTACTACTATATACTACTACGTGAGCCCATCAGGAATGTGGCTAAGCCGCTTGGACCAATTTGTCATCCGCAGAACTACTGTTTGTCACTATATCGAATCCCTTCCCCAACGGCAACAATGGGTAATTGGCCTTCGCTTCAGGAAATGAACAAAGGTTAATGGAAATAGACGGAATAAAAGTTTCCCGTTTCTCTCCCAGCCTTCCCACGAGAAAACAGCTGTCGCAATCGTCTGCCCGACGTACGCTGGCATCTTTGAAGAAATGTCGGGATATCTTTCGTTAAACAGGTGTAGGAGTTGTACCACTTTTTCTGTGGACTCCAGATGGAAGGATCCCTCTCATCTGATACAATTGCCCCTCTGGCATTCCATTCTCATGACCTAGTCTGATAACGTGCATAAAATGTTTACCTGCCTTCTGACATATCGCATAGCAGCAGAGAGTCTAGACAAACTGAACTTGGCATTGCCGGTAGGTGGACCAGGGTTTCCCTTTCAAAATATTTTGATGGTCGGTGCCAAGACCTCCCATGGGATGGACAAGTGGTGGGAACATCATTAAGCACATTGTAGCACCCTCCCACTTAGGTAACAGCTAACATACTCCAGATGGCACCTGCAAGTAGTGCTGTGTACAAATGTACCTAAAACCACATTTAGGTTCAGGTCCAGATTCAAGTCCAGAGGTTTAGCTTCAGTTCCGGACTCGCAAGTCTGGACCTAAACCCATGGCATATACATGTACATGTACAAAATTGCATGTTGCCAACCTTACAATGTTGTTTGGGCAAAACTTGGAGGCTGACACTTGATGATGCACGCTGGCAATGTTTCTTCGTTTTACAAAACAGCTTAAACAATCTATAACAGATTTTAGGTGCTTTGGAAAGAAAAGGGGTATGTGGCATGTTTCCTTTGTAATAAGTCTGGAATTGGTTCTTGACTTTTAGGTTTTTTACCTCCATGAAAATGGAGATATTGTTTTTGGCGCGTCTGTGTGTCTGTCTGAGTGTGTGTTTGTGTTTCTGCACATTTGTAGTCAGCATAACTTCAGAACGCCTTTATGGATTGTGATGATATTTGGTATGCCGGTAAGTCTTAGGAAGACGAAAGTCAAGGTCAACTAGAAAGGCCAACATTTGCTTCGGAGCAAATGTAATATTTCACTCCATCTCCCTCCCCATCAAAAATAGAAGATTCTGAATAAATCATACTGCAATCATACAAGGACAAGCTTTTTGAATCTCGACAGATATTTACAAAAATGGCACTTGGCCATTATCTCCCTTTTTTTTACAAAGATACAACGACAAGCACTTTAAATCTCGACAGCTTTACTTTACACTTATCTCAATTTCAAAGTTACATATTGCAGGTATCTAAATACTACTAATGACGAAATTGCAACTACTACTAACGGTAGCAAAATTTTCACGGTCTGAGAAACATGGACATGTTCACGGAACTATATATTCACGGTGGTGACAGTTGCAGGAAAAAGAAAGTCCAGGAATTATTTCCTAACTGTAAAGATAAGTTCACGGTACAGAGGTGACAGTGAAAACCGTGAACATTGACCTCCTGCTTGCGTTACGTTTCGGTACAGTGAAAAAAAAATCGGGAATTACAGTAATCAATTTACAGAGTATGTTTGCTTAGTTTCCAGATGTTTTGTATGAATGTCGTAAACTTAGTTTTAAATTAACGAAAACCGATGCGCGCACAGATGCCATCCATACAATCAAATCAACATGGCCTTATTAACAATCACATAAACTATGAAGCCATACATTGAATAAGCTATACATATAATATGATTATCATAACCTTTATTTTTAAAATCATGCCAGTGAGCTAATTGCATGTACAGAGTGAAGAAAGTAAAGTAAAGTAAAGCAGTACAATTTCTGTACTAAGCTATGATAGTACTCCATATGATTCGTCCTCATCGTCATCATTCAATGTGGTCTATCTCTTGCTACTAGTGACTGGTAATACCTCTGTAGATTCTTCACACTGGCAGAGTACCGTACTCATTCTCTCTTGTCAGCTCCATACTTTTGTGACAACATCAAAGTGATTTTGGTTTGTATGTTGGAAAAATACAAAAGACTAACATTCTAAGTTATTGACATTCTTGAGTAAGAACAATCAGTTTTTGAATGTTAAAAGCAAAACAACGAAAATTAAAAAAAAATAGTTGAAATTGTTAAAATGCAGGATTGTTAAGATTGTTAAAACTGATAAAATTGTTAAAACTGATAAAATTGTTAAAAATGATAAAATTGTTTAAAATGTTAATATCCGATGCACTGGGGTTCGAACTCACAATTTCTGGGATTGCCGTCTGGCGCGTTACCAACCGAGCTAACTCGTTGCGATACACATCACTCACTGCATTGTATGTCATATAAAGTAAACAGCATGGCGGTATCGATCGCCTCAAGCCACCAAGACTTTCAACTATTAACTACGGGGTTTCCTTCTTTATCAGGTTTGCTTTTGAACCACCTTGATGTTACTTAACTATCAACCCGGCTAGCAGAAGCCGCCGGCTCCTTTGATATTACAGCCGCTCCCTGTCCAATCTTGTTTACACGCCGGGCGCAGGTCATTGACCTCCAACTTGCGTTGTTCCAACAGAGAAGAGCAAAATGTCTGGCTCCCGCAGAACGTACCGCACTCTCCCGCTGGACGTACCGCACTCTCCCGCAGAACGTATCGCACTCTCCCGGAGGACGTCCCGCACTCTCCCGAGGGAAGTCCCGCACAGCGTCCTGCACTCTCCCGCAGAACGGCCTGTGCTGTACCTACCAAAACACTTGAGTTCATACTGTCAAAATGGAATGGCTTTGAACAGGTGTTAATTGAGTTAATCCAATCAAATCCAACAGCCAATCAGCAAGAAGAAAAGATTAGGCTGCGTCAGGTTCATGCTTGCATGCCCATATTTGGGCCCGCCCCCGAATTCCTTTCTTATTACGTCACGCGCGTACGCCCCACAGTACTTTCCTATGGGAACAGCTAAAAACGCAAATAAAACGATTGTAAAAGCTTGTATCAAAAAAATAAAAAACGCCTAGGGGTATTTACCCACTCTACCTTTATACGAAATTCCAGGTCGTTTGGCCCAAAAATGAAGGAATTGAATCAATTTAAAGAAATGGCAGGAGGAGAAGAAGAAGGAGGAGGAGAATCATCAGTAAAAACAGTATTTCCCTCCATACTTAAGTATGGAGTGAAATAAATATGGGCCTCCTGGTGGATGACCTTGGTACTGCAGCAGAACTTCCGGTTTTTGTATCTTTTGTCCTGAACATGCTATGGTCTTGAATTCTTCTTGACAGATAGCTTTTCCTGTCAGGAATAAGTGGTGTGGGTTTGGTCCCCCTAGCAGCTTGTTCTGGAACTGCAGGGGACTTTCGGGCAAAATCTTTGAAAGCCAATAAGTCCAGATAGGAACAATGTATTTTCATCATTTTTGGTACGTAGGTATCTGAACGTATTCTTTTTCAAAGGAAAAAATTGATGTACAAAATGTACGTACTTATCGTATGCTCGTGTGCATAGTACCAACTTTTTGCACCGTCATGTTTTTGCTTGCATGTACATCTGGTCTTCATGCTGGAAACACCTGTTGATTAGGACCCCCTACACTGTGATTTAGCCCCTACACTGTCATTTAACCAGCATTGGGGTCTTTTTTGGGGGCAGAGCCTTCATAAAACTTTTTAAAAATGAAAATATAACTTTAGAATGGACTCCGATATTTTTAAGTCTGCTATAACATAGGGGAAAACAAGATCTGTCCCCCATTTATAAGCAGGAAATAGTGTCTTGGGGTTACTACATGTAGTTACAAATTTTTTTTTTTGGGGGGGGGGAATTCAGACCCCTATTGTGGTCATGTTTTGGGGACTCGATGCACAACTTGTGCCGCAGAAAGTTGCCCTTCTGTACCCGACCCCTACGCTGTGAAAAACACCTGTTTTTTTGACATACAGGAGCAGACCCTGGCCCTGAGGAAGGAGGGATACGGGGTGGTACTGGACTCAGAACTCCCACACCTCATCGGCATCGATGATGACCTGCTCAGTACAGGAATCACACTCTACAGGCTTAAGGTCAGGACATCATGTTATACATGTACCACAGATAATTGTACACCTATGCTTATTGTATCAGGGTTCGAAATGCTGGGTGCATGTGCACCTTAGTGAAGTTAGTGCACCCAAAATGTGCACCCAATTTTTTTCTGTGGGTGCACTGGTGCACCCAAATATTTTTGCTATTTTTGTACTTATGTACATGTTAAATGTTTAATAGTATTATAATGTAATACAAGATGTAATACAAACTTGACCTACAAGTGTAAGTAAAAAATAAAATCTTTGTTAGCTCCCATTTCAGATTCAAACTCAGAAGAGGAGCAATAAGAATTAGGTTTCATTTTATATGGTGCACCCAAAAAATATTTTGTGCACCCAGTTTTTAGGTTGGGCGCACCAGTGCACCTATTTCCAAAAATGAATTTTGAGCCCTGTATATAGTACATGTATGTGGATCAGCGGATCGGTTCGTACCGGTGGTAGGGGATCGCACTAGACACGTTTGACCAGGGACGTCAATGGTCGTCTACATGTATCATCGTCAGTCTAAAGTGAGCCTAACTCCTGACCATGGTGTGGGGAAGGGTAGGCATGCCCATAGCCAGGATTTTGAATTGGGGGGTTCTTCTCACTGCTTGAGGGGACCTCGAGCGCCGTAGGCGCGAATTTCCTAGGGGGTTCGGGGGGTATGCTCCCCCGGAAAATATTGAAAAATGAACCTTCTAAAATGGCATTTCGTGTATTTTTGAGAGGATCTCCAAGAAAAAATCAGAGATAAATTTTTATTCAATGACAAAGGGAGCAGTTTTTCTACGATTCCAGTCCATCTTTTCAAGAAAAATCTTGGACCTTTACATGAAAAGTGGACCAAAAAGTGGACCTTTACATAAAAAGTGGACCAAAAAGTGGACCTTTGAGCCTTGTGGGGGGGTTCTTCCGAAATGGTAGGTGAGATCAGAAGGCCTTGGACGGCTATGTGTGATGGGGGCTTTACTTTAGCTTGCCCCTGTACATGTACATGTACCTCTCTTATGTAATGCATTCTTAGACTGTAGCAGCTTCCTGTGGTACAACAGCTAGAAGGCATGAGAACCGCTCTAATTGTCTCTGTGGCTTTGAAGCAGACCACCTCTGTGTGCGCTCGTACGTCAACAGCCCAACAATTGAGGCCTTGTAGACCGTCTTATCTCCTCTATCAACATTACCATTGAATTCCTGAAATAGGTGACAGTTCTGAAATCCAGGTCAGAACAGATGTCTTTTCTCCGCAGCTGCTAAAGTTGACAAGCGTTATCCTTGGAAAAGCAGTCAGCATGGAGGCTGTTACTGTGTAACAGTAGTTTGTATTTCTTCGCCATATAACCGTCAACGTCTAATATCTCACAATGTCATGGCTTACAGTCTAAAAATTGGAAGAATCGCCCGGTGCTGTACAGTACAGTATATGATAATTATCATTATGTACATTTATTGTACAATATGTGATAATTATCATTATGTACATGTACAGTATAATTATCGTTTATAATGTACATGTACAGTATGTGATAAATATATAATACAACACGGGGTATTCCATATCGCCCGAGGTACCAGCCCGACCGCGCGTCGGATCGCCCGACGGCCGAAGGCCGGAGGGAGATCCGATCCGCGGGAGGGCTGGGACCGAGGGTGATGCGGAATACACCGTGTTGTATTTTATTTATGTCATACCCACCCAAGAAAACACGCCTTTCAATGCAAAATGAGCAGAAAGTTGGTGTCCCTAAACCGAAAAAGTGCAACAACATCAATTCCAACGTCCGAATTTTGCATTCGAATTTTCAAAAGCGTTGCACGCGGTTAGGGCGAAACGCGTTCAAATCGTTCTATGGAACATTTGGAAGCCCCGGGCCGTACGCGTTAAGAACCCCCGGGCCGTACCGCTAGTTATCACACGGGCCGAAACACCCGTATCGAACGTAATCGCGGCCCAGGTAGGACATAATTATCATTATGTACATGTACAGTATGTGATAATTATCGTTATGTACATGTACAGTATGTGATAATTATCGTTATGTACAGTATGTGATAATTATCGTTATGTACATGTACAGTATGTGATAATTATCGCTATGTACATGTACAGCATGTGATAATTATCGCTATGTACATGTACAGCATGTGATAATTATCGTTATGTACATGTACAATATGTGATAATTATCGTTATGTACATGTACAGTATGTGATAATTATCGTTATGTACATGTACATGTACAGCTGTGATAATTATCGTTATGTACATGTATGTGATAATTATCGTTATGTACAGTATGTGATAATTATCATTATGTACATGTACAATATGTGATAATTATCGTTATGTACATGTACATGTACATGTACAGCATGTGATAATTATCGTTATGTACATGTACAGTATGTGATAATTATTGTTATGTACAGTATGTGATAATTATCGTTATGTACATGTACAATATGTGATAATTATCGTTATATACATGATGTACAGTATGTGATAATTATCGTTATGTACAAAATGTACATGTACAGTATGTGATAATTATCGTTATGTACATGTACATAGTTATCCAAAACATGTGATAATTATTATTTCTTATTGCCTTTTCCTTCAGGAGGGAAAGACCCTGATTGGCAGAGAGGATGCCAACCCCAAACCTGATATAAGTAAGAAAGACATGCAACATTACATGATGACTTTAAGACTACTTTTGCTACAATAATGTATGAAAAGTGCTTAAAAAGGTCTTACCTGTATTTTCAAACAGATTTACATGACTTGCATAATGTAACACATTGGAGTTGTGAAATACTTATTATTTAGTTACAACATACATAAAATAGAATGGTCTTGATTGTCTTGCAGTGTCATTAAGCATTATCTTATCAGGTTGTTTATGTTAAAGATGAAATCTTAATAGTTGATGTGTGACATGTGGGTGTGAATCAGAAGACAGCCACTTTCCTCAGTAGGGCCACACCAATTCAATTTGTTGGTTCTCGGATTTGCCTCTTCATTTTTTTCTGATTTGCAAAAAGAAAAAGAAAGATTCTGAAAAATACTCATATTTTGCCCCAAACAGTTGAGGAAAGACCTTTTCTTCCTAGTTGTTACTGTTTTTCCATCAATCAATGCAGTGGTTTTAAGTTCAAAATTCATTGTTTAGATATTAATCCAGCCTTTTGTGTTGACTTCATGGCTCCTATCATTATAGCATTTAGGGCTATATTAGGATGCCTTGACCTGTTTTTATTTTTTTTGCCCTAACGCTTCATGTTTTTTCTGAAATAAGCTGAAATAAGCAGAGAACCAACAAATTAAATTGGTGTGACATAAGGGTTGATTGTGTTTACTGCCTGCTCAGTAAAGGTGTGTTTTTCCCTTGTGTAATCCGATAGTCTTGTGGGGCGTGGACTTGGAGAGTAATCACTGTGAGATTGAGAACAGCAATGGCAAGGTCACCCTGCTACCCAACAACAACGCCCTCTGTTCCGTCAATGGGGATATTGTCAACCAGCCAACTCCGCTTAACCAAGGTACAAACATCACCCACACTGTAACCACACACTAACCTCCGTGTCTCTTCCTGTTTTGTCTGGAACTTTCATGTAGTAGGATTTGCACCTCAGGCTCTTGTTGCATTCCAAGACATGTTATTGCAAACATGTTTGGATCAAATTTTGGAATACAATCATGTGCAGAATAGTGCATTCTGCCTTTAAGTATTCCAAGTCATATTTTGGAATGGAACACGTTTTGGAATTCGACATGCATCCAATGTCATGTTATTCCAAAACATGTTTTGGAATGGACAGTGTTTTAGAAACAAACACCAACAGATTTTTGTGCACAAAAACAAATAGTCAAGCCTACATTGTAAAATGTATAATTTTGGTCTCGTTGTTTTTAGGGAAAAAGGGTTGCAAGGTTGTTATACATTTTGTATATTATAGCTATATACTATTATTATTAGGTCAATATTAGTTTATTACTCTTAGACTATTGTTATATTGCTATAGGTATGAACTATCAAAAACTTGTCTTCACTCTATTTGCATATCAATTAATAGTTCATCGTTATAAATTTGTTGAGATGAAGACAGTTGATGATTCCTAAAATGTCTGATAGTTTCCAAAATTATATCCAGTTTCTTGAGTATTTTGTGGCGTATTACTATAATTATACATTTGTAGGTATATTGTTATCACATTCTCTATCTGGTTTATCATCAATATAGGACTGGTAATGGAGATGTATATGATTGTGAGAACATGTCACTAGGGCTGTGTACCGGTCCAGGTGGACCGGTACGGACTGGAAAAATAGTATCAGTCTGGTCCGAAAAAAAACAAAACGTCGGTGGACCAGTTTTTCGGACCGGAACAAAAATTTATACTTGATCACTACACACAAGGAGGCCTGCCAGGAAAATGAACATCCAGCATTAAAATAAAGAGATTATGACGTTTTGTCCCAAGTTCAGTAAGCGTGGGTCACTAAGAGGGTGACTGAGGACTAGTGAGAAGTGAGATAGGAAACCTAGTTATATCATCCATGGTTATATTGAATGATACAGGACAAATTGTCAACACTTTATTCATGTTTCTGTCATTATTGAAGAATTTCAGTTAGAAGAACATGTGACGCGCGTGAATTTTCAGGTACAGGTACAGGTCCGGACCTCTGTACCTGTACCTGTACCTGATGTTACGAAAAGGTACGCAGCCCTTCATGTCACCATGTAACTTTGTTGTCTGTCCAGGTGCTGTGATCCTGCTGGGCAGGACCAACATGTTCAGGTTCAACCATCCTGCAGAGGCAGCCAAGCTCAGGGCAGAGAGAAAGGTCAGAGGACATACCAGCACTTATAATAAAAACATCCAGGGCTCGAAACACTTTGTTTCTGCATATAGTCAAATCTGTCCAAGCCGGCCACCCAGGGGACCAAAGAAAAGTGGTCACCTTGGACAGGTGGTCTCCTTGAAGAGGGTCACTTCACAATGTGACTGAGGCATAAATTGTTTCCAAGTCGAGATGTTTTATTGTCAAATGCTGTAAGCATCTTCAGTTCAGTGGTGAATGCATGGGGGGAGGGTGGCACATGGGATTTACGTCGAACAAAAACATCATCCAGCAGTCAAGGAAAACTGTCTGGTTTCTCCATGATTTCTCATTAGTTATCATCAATAATCAACATGATCGAAAATGATGTGGTCACCATGGGCAGGTATCGGTCAATGCTTTACGCTTGCATCAGTGGGGAAAATTTTTGGGACCGAGAAAAAGCGGTCACCATGGACAGGTGGCCTGCTTGAAGAGGTGGTCTCCATGGCAGGGTTGACTGTACTTGCACTGGTGCAGGTAACATTGAAAATTACTCGCACCAGACAAACTTTACCTTAAAAAATATTAATGGCTCATCTTGGGGCTTGTTTTGCGCTGTTTTAAATGCCCAAAGTTTTGAAATACTGATGCAAAATGTGTCAATGTGTACAGTATGCCTTATTCAGAATATTTCCAGATTTGCTGTCCTGAAAGTGCATTGGATGCCTTTAAATGTCACATGTATGCTGCTCTGTTGCCTTCTTAAGAGAGCAACTTCTAAAGACTAAAGTGCTCTCTCTTTGCTGTATTGTGCCACAAGGATGAATTCTCAATTGTAACTACTTCTTGCCGCTCTGTGACACGGTGAAGGTGATAAGGGTGCAGTCCCAAACATGGGATATTGTCATTGTACATGTAGTTTCCAGGCTGGTTGATACATGTGTGTTGTACCCTTCTGTTGACAGTCGTTGACCCCAGCTGACACCTATCCTGATCTGAAGATGAGCCACTCCATGACTGACCTGTCAGCTATAGATGAGAACCTTAACCCTGCCATGCTCTTCAACCCTGGGTAAGATACATGTAGAACGTTAACTCTGTCTTTTAACTAGAAACTTAAGGTAACATTTGCAAAGCAAATGCATAAAGTTTACCTAACTCATTAGTTTGTAGGAAAGTCTCTTTGCTCTCTGATTTGATGTTTCTTACATTTTTTAATCAATTAGTAATCAGGGGATATTTAATTTATATTTTTTTTACAGAATGGAGTTGGAAAGAAAGCATAGAATACAGCTGGAAAAACTGGAAGAAAAAAGGTAACTTAAGGCTGTGACAACATCAAAAGTCACTACTGTCTTTATTATTCAAGCTAATGCCTACTTGACTGCTGTTATTTGCCTGAATAGTTGTCTTACGTACATATAGTTTCAACTTAGGCCATGTTGATTTGATTATATGGATGACATCCGCGCGCGCATGAATTTTCGGCCGTTTCCAAAAAAAAAAAAAGTTTTCAATCATACTGTAAATCGTGCAAAAACAGTTGGTAAACGAGCAAAAATATACCGTAAGTTGCAAGGAGAACATTTAGAAACGATACCAATGTCGTAGAATGCCAAAATCAAAGGAAAAAAGACAAAAATGTAAAGAAATGAATTCGAAGAGTAGATTATTTGCCATAACATATTCTGTGCCATTTGTTCAACCTTCATGACCACGTAGATTTCATAGTGAAAGCAACTTTTTTTTTTTGCAAAACTTTTTTTTTATTCGCACGCGCGCATCAG